CATAGCCTAAGAGCCCAAAAGCAACAGCAGCTATAGCTTTTAAGCTGGCCCAAATGATAGCGACTTACAGTGCCAGATACAGATAGTTCTGTTCAAAATTCAGAATTGCTTTCGTATTTTACTTCTTTTTTTTGTTTTTCTCTATGAGGCGCACTGAACGCCTTGCTTATATAAGTTCTATGGAGTCGCCGCGTCACTCAAAACCGGTTTCCATAAATAGACATATAATAAATGTTCTCGAGCTATTTCAATTAGTTTTATACCCTGTACCCAAACAAAAATACTATAAAAGGCATAATCAGTTTAGCCGCGAGCACCTTTGTGACTAGAGATTAATTCACAAACATAATTTGGCTTCTCATAGAATCTGAGAAGCGTTAAACGCTTCCAATTGCAAGCATATAAAAATAATAAATAAATAACAGAAATATATTTGCACTGATAAAAATATTTAGCTTATTAATTGTCAGCAATGATTTATTTTCACTTTTCTAATCTACGTTTATTCCTTTGATTTTATTTGTCTTATTTTTTTAATATTCTTAGATTGTTTTCATCGTGAAATTATATTCAATAACAACGTTTATTTTCTACTTTCTAGATAGCGTTCCTATCTCGTTTAAACATTTCTTAGATCCTTCTAAATTAAATGTAATACGCATTTATATCTAAGCCTCAAATAACTTGTTTTTGTTTTGCTGTATTTATAAATCTTCTCAGTTTCGCAATCTTTTCCTGAATTTCCGAGTTCCATTCTATCAAACTCATTTCATTCTTGATCTCTTTGAGAAATGAAGAGTATCTTTTAGTCGGTCGCATGCACCAAAGTTTCCTAAGCTATTTTTATTTGTTAGCTGGCTTAAAACAATAACCTACTAGCTGACGTCAAGGCAGCAGTTGGGAATTTTAACGATTTTGCACTTGGCAGCGCAGAATGAATTGCGTTGAGAGCTGCAGCTGCAGCGAAATTTATCAATATGTTTTATCTAAATTGCAGGACTAACAAGCAGATACACGAGATAATAGACAAATTACTTGCAGCTAACAGTTTCTGCTTGCAACCTAAGTGATGCCCCAGCTGCCGCCGAGGCCGCTGCCGCAAAGAAAGTTGTCGCTGCGTGTGACTTGCAACTTGTGGCTGCAACTGCAACAACAATAGATGTATCTATCTACAGCATGTGTGTAGCGTGGCCGCTTCTGTGTGCGTCGCTAGAAAAATGAAGATGTACAGATTCGAGCAGGCGCACAGATTCGGCCAGCAGGCGGCTGGCCTAGACTGGGATGGCACAGAGAGTCGCATCTGCACACATACTTGCAAACCTGTGTTCACTTGCATGTATCTGCATCTGCGAAATGTTGCAAATGCTGCCGGTTTGCGAGGCATGCAGCATGTTTACTATACATATGCACAGATATATAGATACATATATATATATATGTGTGTGTGTGTGTGTGTGTGCTTGAAGTGCGGCTCGTCGCGCTGCTCTGCTCGCTGTTCTAGCTCAGCTGGTTTTCGCATTCAGTAGATGCGCTCCGCAAAATATGTGCGAAATGTATCTAGAACTCGTTTTCGTCTGTATCTTGAGAGAGCTGCGCTTTGTCATATGCTGTTCGCCCAGCCATTTGCAACATGCACACCACCAACCTTGGCTGTGTGTACGCATGTGTGTGTGTGTTCCTGTGTGTATTACCAACGAGATACATTTAGCTGATTACACTTGCAGATACATTATAAAATTACTCAAAATCAGCGAAGCGCACTGCATGGATGTGCAGTCTGTCCGTCTTTCCGTCTGTCTGTGTTTGTGTGTGTGAGTGAGTGTGGGTTGTGTGTATTTACATTCATGTCATGGTTCAGCGCAGTTAACACACACACACGCACACACACATGATGTTCTTATTGCTCGGAAACAAGTAAGAGTGCTCTATGTCCAGAGTGCTCAAACTAAAAATACTCTGTAAACAGCTTCTACATAACACCTGCATATGTCCTGAGCTTCATCCTGTCCAAAATGGACTGTTTAATAACTTCTGTGATTATTTTCTTTTATAACCAAAAAGCGTTATATCAAATAAATGCTTGCCAAATATGGTGTCTCTTTTCCGAGACATGCTCCAAAAATGGGGTTGACAATCGATATTTATCAACATATTGAATTTCGTGGATATGCGCAGAAAGTATGACTTTATAGATTTTGCATATGAAATAGTTTTTCGCATTTAAAGAAATCGAGAACATGTAAAACTCGTTGCCCTCTACTTGTGTGTGTGTGTGTCTGAGTTTGTTTTTTATTGCGACAGGGTATCATATGATATTATAAAATGTATCTCGGGCCTGCAGCTGTACGCAAAGCTTTTATATTTGCCTATTAGGTTGCGCAAAGTGGTTTTGAAAATTTGATTTTAACCAAACTAATTGCTTTAGCCGGCTCGCTCGGACAGCTCGGCAGCGAGCCCTTTGTTGGCCAATTGAATTATGTGGCCTGGTTTTGCACTTAGCCAACATCAGATGCAGCCTCAGTTTGTGGCTGCAACGTCATTGGACAACGTCACATGCGTGACATGCGTTCTGTTGTCGAGCTGCAACCCATGCGAACTGCCGCAACTTGTTGGCCTGGCCAATACACAACCATTTCAACTAGTTGCTGCCCGTCGCCTGCTGCCGCTTGCTGTGCGCCTGCTCCGACTAGATACAATAGTAAAAGTGTGCTCGCTGACTGAGTGAATGCTCGAGTGAGTGGATAAGTGTGTGCGAGTGTGTGAGTGAGTGCCTTGGCAAAACTGGTAGTACTCGTGCAGTGTACGTGGGGCACGTTGCAATGCCGGCCGGCCGGCAGCTCGGCCTGTAATTTATGGTCATGCAAAAGAGCGACTCGCCTAGATACGACAGCGTGGGCTGTGGGCTGTGGGCTCGGGCTATTCGGGTGGCAGCACTTCGCTAAAAGTTTACAATTCGCATTCGTATTTATTGTCATCACGTCTTGTCCTCCTTTGGTGCATTTTGCTTTTATTTTGTTTTTTTTTTTCTTTGATTTTTTTTTTTTTTTGCATTGTCGGCCATTGCACCGCTCGACCGCCTCCAGGCCACAGGGCCTGCATTCTGATGCCTTTTTCATATGCAATTTGCATGACTGTATTTTTGTTTTCTCGTTTCGTTACGTTTCGTTTTGTCTTCCTGCATGGCTTTGTCCCTGACAGTTACAACTTTCTGACGCATGATTTGTTGAAAGGCCTTTCGTTTTTTTTTTTATAAGTAGCAGACGGAATCTGGGACATTGTAGGTGCTCGCTCACAACAAAAAAAAAAAAAATGAAATGTTGACAAAAAAGCGGAAAAGCCATGCACATAAAGCGCAAATATGCCTAAGTACTTTGCTTTTTAACAAAACTCTGACCAAGACAAAACTGAAGTGTTTGTTGGGCAGCTCGTTTGAGTAAATTTGTAATTAAGCGAAAAGTCAAATGGCTTACAAAGGCCACACAGGTTGAATAGATGTGTTCATTAATTGTGAAAATTACACACAGTATATATATAGTACGTACTTTTCATTACATTATTTTATTCTTCCCATTTTTACTCGTTCCATTTCGTATATCGTATACCGTATATCGTATATAGATCGTCTTTCCTTTTGGATATATGTATTTGTGAAGTTGATATCGCAACGGTTTAGTGTAATTTTTCCCTATTATACAAATCGAAATTAAAACTAACTTTTTGTCCTGATTGATTTTCTTGTTAACCCTCCGATCGGTCTCAAACTCATTTTCAAAGATATTTGTGAGAACTTATCTGAAAGGGTCTTGGGTGGCGAATGCGAGTCAAAGGCTTAATAAACCAAAGCGTATTCCGCAGCATCAAGGTTCTCACCGCAAGACTAACATGGGCACAAAACCGCACTTAAAACATATTTTTAAATAGATAGGTGGAGATCAAGATGGGTAGATATCAACTTTCCCAAGGGTCGTGTACTTGGTGGAAAAGTAACATTTTTAGCACAAAACATTCCGCGAGCAAGGCCGGGCAATAACCGGGCTTTTATATTTATAAATATTTCTAATACATTTACACATATCTAATGCATGTGGGCAACTTTCGAGCTAGGTTTTTGTATACCTTTTCTGGCTTTCAGAACTGGGTCATCAACATTATCGAGTCACGGCCCAAAAGTGGCACTCACACAGAACTTTACACTTATACAAGTCTTTTGAGACAAGCGAAAAAAAATTTAATCATCTTTACGACCACAACTACGAATTATTTTCATTATTATTATCGTCGCGACTCTGCTGCTGCTGCTGATGTGTGGTAGATGGTTTTGGGCGGGGGCAGCGTCAGCGGCAAGGGCAGGGGCAGGGGGAGTGACCCAACAATGGCCGATAAAAATCGCTGGCACAATGAAAGCAGCGACGCTGACGCTGACGCTGACGACGACGCCGCCGCCCGGTGCGGCTGTTAACCTTGAGGTCTATGACTCACTGAGTCAGCCGCTAGGGGGCGCTGCTTTCTTTTCCAAGTGCCAAAAGATGATTGTGTGCTCCACATTGCGGGCAGGAAGGTCAGCGGAATGCTTGTGGCTCTGATCGGGCGCGACCTTTCACTTTGGGAAAGTACGAGGCGCGCCAAAAATAATTTATTGTAAATCGAACATCGGAACGTTTTGGGGAATTGATGGGGCGGCCCAGGAAAACAAAAATCGTGATTTTCATAAATGAATTGTTGGGGACATGTCTGTCTGATGAAAAGAAAGCAACATCCCATTGGCATCTTCTAACAGCCTGCGAGATGCTGGACCCGTCGAATGGGTCACGGCGTTTACAAATGACAAACTCTTTGAAATTTATGACCACGAAAACGAACTCGAAGATGAACAGCAACACGTCCTAACGATTGTGGCTCTTTTGTTTGCCAAAGACTAGAGAAAGGCTCTGCCTCAACATTGTGTCGTGCCGAAGACTAAACCAGCTTTTCATCTCCCCTCTACCTCTACTCTCTTGCAGAATTTCTTCAGATTGCATCGCCTGAGAAAACTGGGCCTGAGTGACAATGAAATTGGACGCCTGCCGCCGGACATACAAAACTTTGAAAATCTCGTGGAGCTCGATGTTTCACGTAACGGTAAGTCGAAACACAACAAAACATAGAAAACATGCAACAAGTGCCAGATAATTATTATTGACATTGATGGGTTGCCGTTTTTACCATGTGAAAGCTAAGGATGCGCTCTCGAAACACTGGCACGCGCCTATCTATTTAGTTGAGTGACAGAATGACAGACAGACAGACAGCAGGGGGATTTTGTCATACAAATTGAGTCACTTAATGCCTGACATAAAACAATTGCACATCAGGTCTAATTGTGTCTGAAGGAGCACGCTCTCTGTCTGTCTATTGACTGCAAGTGAGTCAACGTCTTGTGGGTTGGCTTTCACCTACCATCATATATTGTTATTGCTGTGCTCAGGCAACAGTCACAATAATTCTTGGTAACCCACTCAAAGTTTGACCTATTATACGCTCCGAGCATTGCCATTGTCCTGCATTAGATCTCTTGTACTTAACTGGAAATTGGCTTGACTGTCAGTTACGATTTGTTGTTACTTTTGTACGAGTTGCATCAACAAAGCAGACTTGTTTAGCCAGAAAAACTTATGTTTTCCGTTCTGGCAACTCTTCGGTGCAATATTGCACGCACAAGCGGACTGTCAGACAGGCGAGTCGCGTACTCGGAGAACCGTATACCCCGCACATATTTGTTTTCTGCTTAAGCAAGCATAAATCCGTAAACACCAATCAGTAATTGGAGTCAAGTGCAGTGCGCACAGCAGCGCGTATTAAAAATAAAACAAATATGTATTCTCTTATATACACACAACTTTTGACAAACGAGCAGGTTAGAGCATGTTTTCCAAATACCCTGTAGCATCATTTTGAGCAAAGTGAAACCAATTTCAACAACTCTAATGTTTTAAAGATTGATTTATTTATGATGTAGGTTTTATTGGAGAGCATAGAAAAGTAGCTTATGAAATTCATGATACGATATATTCATTGTAATTTACATATCATCAAACCCCTTTTTGGAATACAGGGTATTTAGAAAATGAATGCAAAGCTTGTTACCATTGAAGACTCGTTTATTCATTCATGTAATTTAAGCAGTCAGGGCCGGACTTGACTTTTTTTTGGGCTTTTTAACAATAAATTGCTGAAATGATCGGACGAGTTTTCATATTTTCAAATGTTATACTTGAAACAGTTACTGTCAAAGCGAGCTATTTGAATTTTTCAAAAACATGTTTTAAGCGATCTTGAGGACGCACCGCTTTTAGTCTAGTCCGCTCCTGTGCTCGGTCCACAAAGACCGAAGTATTTTTGATGATGTTACAACTTTGTGCGGCTTCCTATTTCCGTTTTGTCCACAAGGGGCTTAAACTGGGTAGAAGTGTTGCACTGCCGCCTTGCCAGCTTGACTGCTTTTGCTGACCATGCAACATGCCGTGGTTGTTGTTTATGCATATGACCCACAAATGTTCGGCAAACACACCCCAAGCAATTCAAGTGAATGTGCTTTTAAAGCTCGTCCGTTGTCGTCGCCTGGTGCTGGAAATCTGAGCTGCGGAATCTAAGTGAAAGGCCCTCAGCGATAGAGATGTGAGCCACGATGATTTTTTCGCTAGACACGATCGCAGCGAACCGGGCAGTCTATCAGAAATATATAGACACCTTTTGAGATTTTAGCTCAACATTCAGTCGAGCGGCTGTTGGTAAAACCCTTTCACATTCAATTATCAATGCTGAAATTGAGTTATTATAATTATTATGGCCAAAGCGTTGTCGCCGAATGGCTTTAAACTTGCCTGGTAATAGGAAAAAGCGCAATTGGCAGGTGCGGCCGCACCTTGCTATATGCACCCACACGTGGCAGCAGGTATTTATATACCCTCCGAATTGGTCGAAGCCAAAAGAAATATTTCAGTTCGCAACTGTGGCGCATTTTTGTTAAAATTAGTGCGCTTGATTTGTGTTGCGTTTGTGGCCATAACAATGGCTATGGCAGCAGCAGCGCAGCAGCGCAGCAGCAGTAGCAGTAGCGATTGTGCAAGTGGATCGTGGGGAAACGAGCTGCCAGGCGCAGTACGCAAAAACACAGTATATTACGTATACGCCCGCTTGCACTTGACAAAAGAATTGGTCGACAGCGAAAACAAAAACGTGCAGTGCATTTGTAAGTGCGCTGCACAATGGACGTAAACACAATTAAAGCAAACAAAATTAAACAAAAAAACTCAAAGCTTTTTTTAAATGGAATCTTTTTAATACAATTACAAGCCATTTTATCAATTTATATTCGTAATTATACTTGAATTAAACTGAATATACATTTTATAAAATGTTTGCTTTGTTTTTCATAATTTGCTCGTCAGGTTTGATTTTCAAACATTCCATGACTTGGATTAACTATTATAATTAATATTTTATATAACTTAACTAAGCTTTACTTTACTTTCTTTTAATGAGTTCTTGAGTCCGAGACCAATATCCGCTGAGACTATCGAAAATTCCTATCTCCTATCTCCATCTGTTTTTTGACAACAAGTATTAAATTTACAATTTTCTAAACCCATTTAAAGCGGATTGATTTCCATATTATCTCAAGTTGTTCCACTGTGCAACACAATAGTTATACCAATACCAGTAAAAACATTAATTTGTATAGCTGTTGCGGTACACACGTGTGTTAGTGGGTGTTAGTGTGTGTGCATGCGGGTGTGTTTGCCATTTGCAGGTGCTGCGGATGCAGTCGACGTCGTCGTCGTCGTCGTCGTCGTTAGCAGTCGCGAGTTTGTACGAAACGTTAATCATTATGACAAGTTGACCTGTTTGCGAAACGTGCGCGAGAGGGCGCTTTTGTTGGCTGCTACTCATTGCATTGCATTCTGCCCTCGCAGCGGGTATTATAGTTTTGTCATTAAATGTGTGACGCTTAGAAGAAAACATCTTCTCATTCTCGAAGCATAGCAACCCACCAAAACTTCATGATTGCTTACCTTTTTCTATGCATACTAATAGTCTCTCGCTTTTAAGTTTATCGTTCTGAAAATGTATCTATATATTATTGTTATATATTATCATTATCTATAAAATACTATATCATATAGATGCCAAGGGAACGGTCGGTCAAAACTTACGTTCTTGTTTGTAAAAAAGCATTTGTTTGTTTTTCAAAGTATTCTAAATAAACTTGTCATATGCAGGCTCTGCAATGCTCCTAAAATGTGAGACAAATCTAATCAATATCGGACTAATAAATTTTGTAGGAAACATTTTCTTCTTGTAACAGAAGTCTCCATCAAATACCCTGATAAATACGAGTTCTCTTCATATATCTGCACAGATTTAAGCCGTTACGTTCAAAAGGGCATTTAATTTTCGGCGTGTTAAATTTGATCGTACTCTCTCGTTTTGTTTTTGTTTTTTTTTTTCTGTTTTCCCAACGCCGCTAATTGTTTGTTTATTTGCGCGTTGTGTTTTCTATTTCTTAAATTTCGCAATTTGTTTTTGCTGCAGTTTTGCGCAGTGTGAAGTTAGCTCGTGGCTTGTTTATTAATACATACTAATTTGTGCATTTACATATTTAAAAGACGCTGCAGCCATTCGACAAACAGACTCTAGTTGCTTGAAGTGAGAAACTCCGAGTTCAAACCAAGTATATACGAGAATCCGCAGCAAGATTATGAGGGAATGAACAGAATACTGTGGGAATTGGTTGTGAAATTCTATGGGAACAACTTAACAACCGATTTCAGAATAGAAAAAAAAAAGCACTGCATTTTACAAAAAGACCAATTAAATGCCATTTGAAAGTCATGTACTAAGCCAGCGACGACGACATCCTCAACGGCCAAGCACGAAAAGCCAACAGAATCTGTGTCATCTTTTATTCTTGTTGCTGTTGCAATTGAGGCGTCAACTGGGTCAAAGTTAAGCTCTGCGCCGAGTGCACCGAAAGTCGTCGCGTCGCCTCATTCAAGTGGCTTTTGCAAGATTCTTGTTGTTGTTGTTGTTGTTGTTTTTTTTGCGCTGACAACAGACACAAGTATTGTTAAAGTTGCTGTCTGCTTGAGAGTCTGACGGCAAACAACAGGCAGGCACTAAGCTGCAGAAGGCCCTCGACTATAGATCAAAAGAGCTCGTTGGCGGTAGATGGAACGAGAAAGCGGGAGCTTTTCGTCAGCACAATGCAAAATCAGGGCTAAGTTGTGGCTTGACTGGACCTAGGCCACACGTTATTACCGGCCATGACTTTGTTAAATGTCCACATATACAAGATTCTCTTCTCTCAACAGGTATTATTTTGGCGTAGTCTGACAGACACAAGCACACATGCCCATGGCGTGTGAGAAAAGAAAAGCAAAAATTGTTGAATTAATAGCATTAAACAAAAACTATATCAAGAAATCAGAAAATTGAAAAATCATTTCTACTCACATCGTACTTAGCCATAATAAATATGTACATACATAAGTATTTCAAATGCCTGCCCGCTATTGACGTCACCGGGCGAGGGCAATTAAAAATAAAAACTAATCGACAGACGAACAATAATTTTCTGTGCGGGAGGGAAACAAATCAAAAGCCAAAAGTACGACATGAACTGCCTACACCAACACATAGACAAAATGGCAAAAATGTGTAGGAAAATGTAAACTCAACAAGCTGTTGGGAAAATTAGTAAACCAGACTAGTAAGATACCCTTGTTTTTACAGCTAAACCAATGCCCAATGCTTGATGTTTAAGTTAAAAAGTAGTTTAAGACGCCAAGTCGATATTTTCTGCTAATCTGCCTATTAAACATTTAACAGGAGGATAAATGTGCCAGCAACAAATACAATTGACATGAATAAGAAACTGCCGTGCAATGTACCTAACCATTTTGCTAAGCTACAAGCTAAGCTGGCTAATTACTCACTTTAAAGTATAAAAAGCGAAACATAGTTCAACTTTGTATCAAAAGCCAATTGTACGACAGCTAGCTTTTACTTGGAACATGTGAAAAAAGGAACTTTTGAGGCTTAAAAGTTCTTTTCTCTTGTCGCATGAATAGCTAGCTTCCTGGTACATAAATGTTACCTGCAGTTCGCCCTTTAGCAGAAAAGGTAACCAAGTGAACGTAGCAGCGGGAAAATCATATTGAAAAACCGTTGCGGTCGGCTGGCTGGTGATGCCTTTTCCAAAGAGAATGAAACAGGAAAAACGTGGAAATTAAGCGAGTCGCGAGCTGAGTTTGATAAGCCTGCGCCAACTGGTACAGAGATGCTGGGCGCATATTGCGGATTTGTATTAATCGAAACATATTTTAATTGATTGACAGCAAGACTTAACTGAAGTCAAGCCTGAAGATTGACAAAGTGTTTGCATATACACCTCACATGTTGTACTTTATGTGAGACTTTTAATCAGAGTAATAAAAACACATATTTTATGTGCCCTTTCTTCTTTCTGCGCCAAGAATATTAGGACATTTACTCAAATATGTATGTGGTCTAAACAGTTATAGAACACTGAAATATTTAAATAGAAACTGACATTCTATTCCCTTTCCCATAATTCTCGTGAATGCTGGAGTTAGATTGAAGGTATCTCAAACTTGCAAATTGCAAAATGCAATTAAACTCGTAACAGCCTCATTTCTGGATAACTTTGTTAGCCTGCGGCTCTCTAATCGCATCATGCATGTAACGCACGGCTGCTTTTAACTGTCGCAATTTCCAGAAAAATTCAGACATCTGGCTGCACTTTTACAGAATGGAAATGAAAATCAGTTTTGCAAACATTCAAATTTGATTTTTACCGAGCAGTAGCTGATACCACGAAATGCATGGAACATGTTGTGCAATATTCTGCTAGTTAGAATATATGTTATGTGTGTGCAGAGATAAAAGTAAATAAATGTGCATACATATTTTAAAGTGGGATAATAAAATACCCGTTGATTCATTGGTTACAACCGGCCCTGCCATGGCTCAAAGCTAAAGTTACAAAGCTATAATATAGATATTTTTATATATAGCGGTTATTTTTAATTTACATTCAATTCAAACACAATTGAAGCCGACTCAAAGTGCAAATGCCTGTAACAGGCAGAAGGAGACTTCTCTCTGACCCTGTAAAGTATATTCGATTGTAACCAACATTAACCCCCATTAGTCTATACGTATATACGCGAAACTATGACAATTAGAGACTTGAAATTATGATGCTTTGTTTTGATGAAATCAAGCAAAATGTACATCGATATCTTATTTTTCAGCAAATCTCAGAGCTTCGAAGCGCCAAGATTAGCATCTTGTCTTTCGTATACTATTAGTCTTCCCGTTTTTCGAAAAACTTGAAAGAACAATTTTATTGTGTTATATTGTTAAACTCTTCGTTTTTAACATACGTTTGGATTTTATATGCCCTGATAATTTTATAAAGATCGGACTTTTAAGAATCGTAGTGTGTATGTATCATACTATGTATTAAGAAAATTCCTATATGAATTTGAAAATTTGTTTATTTCATAAAAGCCTCAACAAATTGATTAACTTTATGTCTGTCCGCTTGTTATGTATTAATTTTTTTTACTTTTGCTTATTGAAAGCGTTTTATTCTCGCTTGTTAAACACTTTAATTGCGTTAAATAGCACCTGTTGCAGCATGTCCTCTGCATTGTCGCGATGTGGCAGCGAGCTCTACAATTAAGGGCCATTTACTTAGCGCACTCCCTGAACGGCTTAGCCCGACTTTGGGTTGGTGACGTGCAGTCAGCCACAAGCAGCCGCCGGTGCGCTCTATTATGAGCCGGGCCATAAAGCATCCAGAGGCAGCGGAAAGCTATTTCTATTTGCACGCTGCCGTTGAGGGATTTGCTGGATGTGGATGCGAATGTTGATGCTGATGCTGATGCTTTCAACAGAAACAGAAAGCAAATTGCATGCAGACGACGTGGATGACGCCGTTGCCATTGATGGGGATGTGGATAAGGACGAGAACGAGGTCGACTCCATTCATTCAATAAAGTAAATGGCAGCGTGCCATAAAAGTAGTCATATATGGTGTTCTCTAAGTGAAGATTAGTGCAACTTAACCTGGCTGTGTGAAATTGAAAAGTCTGATGAAAGCTTTTCATTTGCAAGCAGCCATCAGTTTTATCATTAAGTGCAATGTGCAAGTCATATTGAAAAGTGGGGCCAGCCCCCCATTCGGCCGGCCCATAGTCTGTTGTTTGCCTTGATAAGTGACAAATCATTTCATTTCTCTCATGTGCCGGCAATACACACGAAACAATGCCGACGACAATATGCTCTTAAAATATTTGCTCGTTCAATGACATTGAAATGAATTTTCATCTACAATGTTGACGTCGTCAACTGACGTTTCGCCTGGCCGAATTTTGGCAACGCCCAACGGCAGCCTCTTCGATCTCTTTTCCGCTCGTTTGTCCCATTTCATTGAAATTTATATGCTTTATAAATTCATGGGCTTGTCAGCCTTGTTCCTTGTTGTTCTGTGTTTGCTATTGTGCTATTTTAAGCTGTATGCATTGTCTTTTTTTTTGCTCATATTCTATAAAAATGATAAAATATTTCATATTTTTGGCTCTCGACCCAAAACTCGTGTGCTGCTATGTGTGTTCCGCTTGTTGCTATTCTCATTGCATAATTGCACAAATTGATTACATTTGGGGCACCGGCTCAAGCATTTCCTTTCATTTCCGCTCCCACTGAATTAGTTCCCTCCCCCCTCTGCAACGGAAAGGTCAGTGAAACACGCGCCGCTGGGCGACTGTCGCCCATCTAATGACCGCCAACTGTGCCGCACAGTTGAGCACAATTTGGCTGCAGCCCTGCGGCCAAAATACAATCGAGGGAATATAGAACAGCCATCCCGTATGAGAGTCACATATGCTGCCAATAGCCCAAAGTGTGTGAGAGCTTGTTTGTGTTTATGAGAAGCGACTCGCTGCGTTCATTTGTCTACGGCAGTTGGAATCATTTTGAGTGTTTGGTGTGTGGCTCTGTTGCTGCCCTCTTGTTGATGGATCGACTGCTGTTTGATGCTGTGGGGCCTCGATTGCTCTTGACTGTTTGCCTGCTGGCTGATAGCTTCTGGCTGTTGCTATCCAGAAATACACAAAGACCTCAATAGTTAATTATAGCAAAACGTACTGAAACAAATTGTCATTGGTTACTCGAAAGCTGGTCTAAATTTCCATGTATTATCCTTAACTAGTTAAACCTGGGCAACGAATTGCATATGTCCATGCTGTACGAGCACGCATGTTCCTAATTTGTATCCCTACATTTGTAAAGAGAAAAGGAAAAAACGATAAATACCTAGTAAGAGAAATATTTTATAAAGATATGCATGATTTATTTTACATATTTTCGTGCTCAATGTTATATCTCATAAATATGCAAAGCACCAAAAACATTTAGTAATATTTTGTTTGTTTAACATTGAATGTTTAAAGTGCATGCAAATCGCAGCAAAGTCAACAATATGTATATAAAAAAGAAACATTTTATTTACAAATGTGCTTTTACACACACAGTTGTGTGTGTTCCTGTATATATTTTTAATTAAATTGCAGTCGGTAAACATTTAATCCGAAGCCAGCCCCGCAGCTGGTTAAGCAAGGGGGTCGTAGCAACAATTGTATACAATGCATCAGGCACTTTGAGTCCACACGTCATTCAATGCACATTTGCACAAATTTTTTATATTCAATGGAGTATTGGGGCTCCCTCACTCACAAGGACTGGCCATTTCCGCCAAATGCCACTCGAAATGCCAGGGCAAAAAACCAGGTTCATTGTTGCCCGGCAATTCGAACATGTCCTGCTCGACAGGCAACAGCTATTGTGTGCTCTGTGGCGTTGAAGTTGTCGCCGTGCAGAGGTCCCACGAGTCGTATTAGTTACATCAAGTTATTATTCCCAGTCTGCTGCATATACATTTATGCATGTATATTGATGTGAGTGTGTGTCTGTGTTGTCTCCTGCCTTGTTGTGTGCAACTGGGTCAACGTAAACGTCGCGTCGCGTCGCATCGTCAAAGGATTGCGCGCCCACCTGCCTGTTTACACTGCGGTGACCTTTTGTGCGAGGCTCCTGTGGCTTTCTGTGGGTGTGTTTCGCATAGACAAACAGCCACATAACACACACACACACACACAAACAATCACTCACCATTGTTTGTGTATGTAAATGCTGACACCTACATATACACAGACATATTTATATATATATATATATGTGCTTGTGTGTATATGAAAACTCCAGCTTTTGCGTGCGCATTTCCGCCTGGCAGTTGAAAATGTATTCGATCAACAAGTTTCTTTTGTCATTTTACGCTTCGTCTCGCTTTATCGATGTGGCGTGGCCACACAGCAATAACAAAAGGGCAGAGCGAATAAGCCTATGTTAAATGAATTGAATAGAATCTGAACATACCATATACATACCTTAACCCGTGATTAAGCTGTGAAACCATTTATATGGCCATGTGCTGTGTGAGCCGATTGTAGTTACAATAAAGAAGAACATTGCAAATTTCAAAGTTTTTTGTTTAATTCCTGCACATGCGAAAATTTTTGCCAAAAAGGGATAGAATCGTAGAATCTGTCAACTGATTTTTGGATAGGTACATTTTATATAAACATATATATGTAATGCCAAATACATTTTCTCAAAATACTTAAAAACGTATCAAAAGAGTAAAGGAAAGGAAGTGCGGTGTACAGGATAACTCCTAGTCAAGCATGCTCGGCCACTCAAACCCTTATCTGTACAGTTTTTTGCGCAGCATTCGCCGCTTTCATTAAATATTTATAGATATTTTATAAATAATTATATATGGATATTAGGCACGTCCTTTAACGCAATTCATGCGTAAGCGCAGTGCTCGACAGGGGGGAGGGTCAAAACAGAACTTGAATAATCGATGAAGCAACTCTGAGTAATAAACAACGATAAGAGAAGATAACAATTGTTAAATGTATTGCTTTATATATGTATATATGCAGATATACCCGACATTCCCGATGACATTAAGCATCTGCAGAGCCTGCAGGTGGCCGACTTCAGCTCGAATCCGATACCGAAACTGCCGTCGGGCTTTTCGCAGTTGAAGAACTTGACCGTACTGGGCTTAAATGATATGTCGCTCACAACATTGCCCGCCGATTTTGGCAGTTTGACGCAGCTCGAGTCACTGGAGCTGCGCGAGAATCTGCTCAAGCATTTACCCGAAACGATAAGTCAGCTCACGAAGCTGAAGCGCCTCGATCTGGGCGACAACGAAATTGAGGATTTGCCACCATATCTTGGCTATTTGCCGGGCCTGCACGAGCTCTGGCTGGATCACAATCAGCTGCAGCGTCTACCGCCAGAGCTGGGCCTGTTGACCAAGCTAACGTATCTGGATGTGTCCGAAAATCGCCTGGAGGAGCTGCCCAACGAGATTGGCGGCCTGGTTAGCCTCACCGATCTGGATCTGGCACAGAATCTGCTCGAGACACTGCCCGATGGCATTGCCAAACTGAGTCGACTGACCATACTGAAACTGGACCAGAATCGCTTGCAGCGTCTGAATGATACGCTCGGCAAGTAAGTATAGCAAACGCATTTGGCAACGGTCTACGGGATTAGAAACTAATCAAAACTTTTGCAGCTGCGACAACATGCAGGAGCTGATATTGACGGAAAACTTCCTGTCCGAGCTGCCCGCCTCGATTGGAAACATGAGCAAGCTGAGCAACCTGAATGTGGATCGCAACGCCTTGGAGTATTTGCCCATAGAGATTGGCCAGTGCAGCAATCTGGGCGTGCTCAGTCTGCGCGACAACAAGCTGAAGAAGCTGCCGCCCGAGCTGGGCAACTGCACAGTGCTGCATGTGCTCGATGTGAGCGGCAACCAGCTGCTCTATTTGCCCTATTCGTTGGTCAACCTGCAGCTGAAGGCGGTCTGGCTGTCGGAGAATCAATCACAGCCACTGCTCACCTTCCAGCCGGACACGGACGCTGAGACGGGCGAGCAGGTGCTCTCCTGCTACCTGTTGCCCCAGCAGGAGTATCAGCCCATTGCGCCAGGTAAGTTGCTTGCAACTGCTAAATAGTAACTGGTAACAGGTGACTGATGACTGGTGCTGGAGATCGTGATTCGGCTGGCTGCTCATTGCTTTAGTCATGGCTCGAACATTTCAACATTGGTCAATAAATATAAAGGGTTGCTTATCTGTAGCTGGCATTCTTTCCGCGAGCCATATCATGGTGCAATATCTGCAATCTATGCTCGCGATAAGATAAGAGCCCCCAACACTTGTTTAATTGTACCAACAAGAGCAATGAGCAACACTTGAGTCAAACGCTCTGAATATCCAGTAGTACAGGCTTTTCCAAATTCTAAAATTTTATCAATTGCCTTTTTTGTTTTTTTTTTTCTTGTAACTAAAAGTCTTTAACGTTATTTGGCCTTAAATTTCTTCATGCACTAAGCACTTTGTCCTCGATGTATCTCAAATATCTATATACCTATTTGTTTTTCTTCGATTTTGTTTATTTTTTTCCGCATTCACACCATGCGCTCTCTATACTATATACTGCACCTTCACTCAAATATCATAAAAAAAAAAAAAACAATCACAAAACACCAAAAGATTATCCACCCCAGACGCTTTATAGATCAAGCGAAAAGTTCGATTCGATGGATTTCTTCAGTTATCAACAGAAAGGTTTGCGTTGTCTGTTAATAATACTAAAATAACAAAACGCTATTCATATAAACAAAACCCCTATAAATATAGTTGTCCCTCAGAGCTATAAAGTAGAGTTGTGCTTCTTGCATGTGGCTAGTCTTAAATTATTTATTTTTTTTTCTAGAATTTTAATTCTTTCAAAACGCGTTTGACGAAAATTATATATATTTTTTTGTGAGCTTCTAATAAGAAATGCCAGTTTTCAGTAAACAATAATTTTTTTACAATTTTACAATTACAATAGAAGCAATAGCTAAACGAATCAAAGAATCTCTTAGTAATTCGTCTAGCGGATTTTCATTTAAATTTCTTAATTTTGAAAAGCCAAAATGTAAACAACTCTCAAATTTGTCCACATTTATCTTATAACTAAATACTTATTTCCTCAACTATTTATCCAATTAACTTTTTTTCAAATATTCAAAGATTCTCTTTTTAAAGAAACCGGGCTTATCAAAAATTTTAAAAAGTCTAAAGGGCTTGCATAAATAAATTAAATAAAAATAGCATTTTCTTGAATCCAAGAAATTTGTTTGGAACTTTTTGTAATAAACCTTTACAAATCGGGCATATACGAGCTAAGAATATTTGTAGTGTTGTTTATATATTCAAAACTTAAAGTCGAAACAAATTGTAATTCCGCCCAGTTATGCATGCCTTGAACACAACTCTACTAAATAGTGCGCTTCTTATAATCCATAAGCTATGCATGCTCCTCTCACCTTATGCCTATTACCTTGAAAACTTGAAGCTGTGGCTTTGAGAACGCATTCCTCGAAGCTGTTGCCTGAACTGAGACCAGGTCTTTGGTCAATGTTGTTTTGGTTAGAATGTTTGTATATCCAAGTCTTTTGTTGTTTAAAGAAAACCAGTTTAGTGGCACTAAATGACGTCATATAAATCGGATAACACAAGTCGGGCCGGGCCGGGCCGGGCGTTGGCCATGTCAAGAAGAGACTGGGTGCTGTAGCGCAGTGTATTATGGGTGTGCACACCCAACGGCATACTCGGAATGTGCGTGTGTTTGATTTGTTGTTTGATTTGATAATGTTATTATTTGCTGTTTATGTTCCATTCATTTGACAGCCAGTCCGGAATCTGTTTGCTTTGTATGCGTGTTTCCCATCACACAGCCCATCGCTCAACACTTGAGACTGGAGCGTTAGGTGCCTGGTTAATGCTACCGATACTCGGCTCTGCGTTCAGAGATTCGGATTCCGATTCTGTTATTAAACAGCTGCCTGCTGTCAGTGGCAGCAGGCCAGATCAAAGCGTATGCCCTGCTGCACAGGCGTCTTCTTTGTTCCGATACTCAGCCATTTGGGGGTGTGCTTCTCCGAGTGATGTCAACGCTTATGACGTCATGATCTGGCCTGAATGTAGACCAAGATCGACGGGCAGTCGTAAATGTATTCACGAGCAATCGCATGTATAACGCCGATACTTAATAATATTAATCGTCTTCTAAGAGCGCTCGCGACTGTAGACATTGTGTACGCCATTGATTAATGGCCTGTCAGACAGCTAGGCGAATAGTACAGTGAAGCGTGCTGTTTGACGAACGCACTGCCCGAAAACTTGGCTTTATGCATTACAACTAAAACCATATACCAGGCTCCGATAATGTATAGTCCGTCCTAAGCCTTACTGGCATTTCCCATAACTGCCAGGTTTATTTATATAAATATATTTTTAAATTTGAAGCCTTAGTTTTTACCTACTTTTCCTCTTATAAATCCCAAGTATATTATGTGTGTTATATTATTGATTATTATACTTGTTAGCGCTAAGCTGAAACTCAAACCCAAAAAGCTTTAATATTAAGTTTGAAATTGTCGTCCTATCCAATCGATTGTAGTTTCAGTCTATAAATTATGGCTTCACATGAATGCATGTATGTGTTGAGTCTTGTTTTGCGTGGTTTCACTGTAGCATTCACTAGTGCTAACTGGTATTATTCAACTTGTTGTTATTGTGGTTTCCGCTTTGTTGCGTAGTTTTTTGTCAGAGTTCTCCTCCGGTTAGTTTGACATTCGATATAATAATATTTCGTAACTGTTTTGAATCGGAAACCAGTTTTGCTAAAAATAAATCGATAATATCATCATCAGTTTTTTGTTTTTCTATTTTCATCTTGACAATGTTGAACCAAACGATTTTCGTAAGTGCATCAAGCATTTTTCATGCAATTAACACACTTGCGCTAAAAAGTGCCCAAGACCAGGCGGCGGCTCATCAATCGAGCGCCCATATGTGGGTTACGCTTTTGGGGTCCCGGGTGCGCCATGTGCTGGCACTTAAACGTTGCTCAAATTATCCAATTAGAGCTGTGACGGTCAAGACACGCAGTGACAATGGCGGCGCCCCTCGGCCTCATTATTGCTATTACAAGTTTCTGTTTTATTTACATAAATCTTCATATGAGAAATGTTGCTCGAAGACACATCAAATTTACTCGGCTTATCAGTAGACACACGCAGCACATCCCGCTGCGTGTTGTTCATTTCGAAAAGATATTATTCCGCGCTGAAAATCCGTAAAAATTGTAAGTTACGAGCTGACATTGGATGCAGCTACTTAAGCCGGGGCCAACTACTTCCGTCATAAACAACGATTTAAATTTGTTTATTGGTCAGCAGCAAACCGACCCCACCCCTGGCCCCTCCTCTACCACCCGGTGGGCTATGGCATGCAATTGCCGCGCGGGTTGCCCACATCTTGCAATTTTTATATTGTTTACGCTGAGTGGAAATTTATGGCACATATCCACACACAATCCCTTGATGGATTAGAGAGTGCCTGTGGCAGCGGGGCTGTGGCAATGTTTATGCCAAGGCCTCAAAAAAAAAATATATATATATATATATATAGTTGCCTTATTGTTTTAGTTGGTTTTCACATGTTGCTGTTGCTGTTGCCGTATTTATTGATCTTACATAGCCCCAGCTACAGGTCGTTAAGCGGCCCGAATGTAAATATTTATAAACTATACAGCTACTCGACAGCTACTAACTGTAAGTGCATGCGCATGCCGTTTGCTAATCTTTCAATTAGTAAAACCACAATTAAATCAAATTGTTCATGAACAATCCAATCTCCTTCTCACTTTTGCCGCAGCACGCGATTTGGAATCCGACTCTGAACCCTATGAGGAGCGCGAACCGTCACGCACCGTTGTCAAATTCTCGGAGGATGCCAGCCAGGAAAAGGATACGCCATTTGTGCGCCAGAACACGCCGCATCCCAAGGACTTGAAGGCCAAGGCACAGAAACTCAAAGTGGAGCGCAGTCGACACGAAGAGAATGCCAATTTGGTGGCACTGCCCGAGGAGGTAAATGATACAAGAAGATCAAGTGAACGGGTTCAAGGGTCAAGCTTATGTATCTACTTCAAATGCCCTTAATTGTTATAGAACAAAATTGTACAATTTCGGGGTCCAGCGGAGGCAGCTAGCTCTTGAATTCATTTCAAAACTTCTGACCTCTTTTTATGGTAGTTTAATCAAATTTATGATATTGATATTTTATTATTATTAATGTAGCTATTTAACTTTACATTTATATTATTCTCAAATAGTTTATTGCTTTATTCTTAATGCATTTATATTCTTAACTTCACATTTATATCATTCTCAAATAGTTTATTGCTTTATTCTTAATGCATTTATATTCTCATTACAATAGAATATAGAACCATATTAGTAGTATTATTGGTATATTTGGTTGCACAATTCGGATTAAGTAATTATGCTTTGAATATCTCAAAAACTTAACAGTATTGATAAAATCCATAAGTTTAGTTTTAAAATACAAATATTAACCAAAGTATTATAGTTATAAGTACGTTATATTCTCTTCTTAGTTACATTATATGATTTATTTTCTGCATTCTATTAAACTTGCACGCAATTCTTTAACTTTTCTATGCTTTTTTCATATAATATTGCTTATTCATAATTTATTTTATGCAATTTTATTTTTTTAACAGAACGGCACCAAAACAGTCGTGACAGAAACCCCCGCCGAGGCACGCACTCTGGCCAATAGTCACCAACAGATAGTCGTGACAGCCACCAATAGCGCTACCGCTGCGCAGCCAGTACACAAACCAGCCGCAGTGGTGAATTCCAAACCTGTAACGGTTGGTGCAATTACACCAACACCAACTGCAGCTGCGCCACAAACCGTACAGGGTGCCCCAGCAGCAGCAGCAGCAGCAGCCACGGCCAGAACCAACAGCGACAATACAACAGCAACAGTTGCCCAGGCGGCTGACGCTGCGGAACAGGAAGACGAATATGTAAGTAAATGTGAAATAAATTATTAATAAAATACATTTTGAATAACAATTTTGACTTGATGTTGCAGGAGACCGATCGCCGCGTGGGCTTCCAGGTGGAGGGTGAGGACGATGACTTTTACAAGCGACCGCCAAAGCTGCACAGACGGTAAGTTTGATTAGCTAATGCATTGCGAAACGTGTTTCCAATCCAGTTATTTGTACCCTTAGCGATACGCCCCATCACTTGAAGAACAAGCGTGTGCAGCATTTGACCGATAAACAGGCCAATGAAATCTTGGCCAATGCTCTGGCCTCACAGGAGCGCGACTCGCCAGAGCCGCAGCAGTCGCTGGCCAAGGTGCAGTCCCCCATTGAGGAGAATGCTGATGCCGAGCTGCTCGAACAGCAGCAGGAGCAACAGGAGCAGCAGCAGCAGCAGCAGCAACAACAAAAGCAGCAACCATTTGACGCCTCGCTCTCCCCAATCCCAGCTCCAAAGGCTGAGGCAGCAGCCGCCACAGCAGCAGGTAATTTATGCAAAATCAGCTCTTCGGAGCTTTAACTATTTCAAAACATTCTCTTAACTGCTCACAATGCGAAAGAGGGATGAGTTTCAGGGGACCTGCCCCTACGACCCACACATAATCAATAACCAATCGATACGATTTTCTTGCTAAATATTGTGCCCCGTCTTACATTATGAATATGTGAAAGCCACCTTTGGCAGACATCCAGCGTCGCATTGTCCGCTTATGGGAGTTGTCTGGTTAGGGGAATGCATTTTGAATTACAAAATGGAAAGCTTACATGATTTGTCAGTTAAAGTGCGTTCACTTTAGAAGTGGTTTTATTTGCAGGCCTGACGGGCCATTTAGAAATTTATGCACAAAGTAACAAATCTTTTTTTAAGTGCATGCATAATACTCAAAATTATGATAATTTATCAATCAAATGTAACGATCATAATTAGTTCCATTTATTAATCATATTTGCATTCATTACAAATGCGTGATTTAAATGAGAAAACTAAAAGTAATTGAATATATATTATTCATATTCAAAATATATATTAAATAGCAAATATTTAGAAAGTATTTAGCATGTACAGTAAAAATTCCCCAAACGAACATTCGACAGATTTCCCTCTTGGACGGACACATTCGTCCATTCTCTCGCTGTCGCTATCTATCCGCTCAAGTTTTTACTGTATATGTGCTGTCATATTGTATGAGCAATCCATTAATGTCTGTCAATATATTTAACTTGTATCTAAGAAATGAAGTAGAAGGATATTATAACGTTGAAGATAAAATACGAAAGGGAAAATGTTCGATTCTGTAAGGAGAACATATTCTCCATTTTCTACCAATGATCTCAATTGATCTCAGAAAGAACAAGAGTTAATGAACAAGTTTCACATTTCCCCAAATTGGATTAAGTCATAAAATACATAATTATTAAAAGATATCTATAGCTTAGATTGTGCCAAGAAGATAGATTGAGTGGGAGAAATGCAGGAAGATATTAGAGAATTGTGACAAAACTCAGGTGAATGATATCTGAGGCATTTCAAGTGTATAAACTACAATGTCCAACCATAGCTGACATGTCTTGCAACAACTTAGGTCAGGTCTGTCTACCAATATTTAATGAAGCGCGCTGATATCATCACTTGAAGACTTGTTCGAGTAGCAATTCGACTTAATTGAAGCAACGAAAATTTAATTGTAGTGCGTGCTTATTAAAAGCGCGTTACGAAAAAAATAAGAGTTGGAGAGGAAGAAAACAAGTGCGCAACAGGTAAACGAGCGCTAGAAATTTGGCCTAAAAATACATATATATATATATATATATATATATATATACACACGCAACGCCAATAATTACGCGGTATGTACGACGCGTAAAGCCTATATATAGGGCCCGGGGCCTATCAGTGTGCGCTATCTATTTGCTGGCTTGCAAAAGCTGATAAGCAAACAAGGTGGTGGGATCAGGGGGGGGGGAGGGTTGGGTGGGTGTTAAAGGGGGGGTTAACTAAAGGGAACTGAGCAAAACTGAAGAGCGACAGCTCTAAAGAGCGCAACAAGTTGAGAAAGTTGAAAATAAAATAAAATTAAATGAAACTAAAATCAGCCGCCTGCTCATTATGGCAGTAGACGAGTGGCTACCTGAGCAGGTGTGTGTTTGTGTGCGAGTACTCTAGAGAGAGAGGGCTAAAGAGAGAGGGGGAGAGGGAGAGGGAGAGTGAGAAGAGAGTGAGTGAGCGAGCGAGCGAGTGTGTGCAATTGCTGGCAGTCTGCCTCTGGGTCTGGGTCTCGACACTTTGCCCATTTGCCGCTGACTTTAGTCATTTTTTAGTAACGCTTGCGTTTTGTCAACATCGCGAGAGCGCGCGCTACGTTTGTCGCGTTTGTCTTGAGTTTTCTACAAATAGCATTTACTACTATTATTTGTTTATTATTATTAACGCCTGCTGACTAGACACACACACACACACACGCACGCACTTGAGAGCCCGCAACAATAGCAATAATAACATTGAATACAAACTTTTCACATGCCTTGACTTAGTCAGAGGCCCGAAAAAAAAAAGCAAAAGCAACTGCAAAAGCGACACAGTTGTATGTTAAATATGTACTTATATTCATTTTTATTTTGTGCGAATTGTCGCTGCCATTTCGAGGCGCCAGGCAAGCCAACTGTCTGCCCGGCTAGTCTCGCATTACGCATACGCAGCGTTCGCCATTGTGTTGGCCCAAATTGAATTTCAAGTGCAAATATGCTCGAATAGGGCGCTGCAGCAACTCTCTTGCAAGGTCGCAATAGCTAGCTGCTCAAGGTTATGCCGTGCCACATCAGCTGCTGCTGCTGCTGCCTTGGAGCGCAACCAGCTTCCGCTATTTTCATTTTGGTTGCATTACCCAAAAAACTAAAAAAACGAGCTGCTTGAAAGGAAATTTTGCATGTTGTTTGCGTAGTCACAGAGTGTCCTTCCTTATATATATATTTGCACATGACAAATACGCCATGTTTATCTGCTTTTGCCAGTGTGTATCTGTGTGTGAGTGTGCATATCCGGTTGCCACTTCCTATTTTTTCGGTTAGCTGCTCAACAAGAATCATCAACATTTGCACAGTACCTTTTTGCATGGGTTGGGCAAACAACACGCTGCATTTGCCATCAGCTTGCATTGTGTGGTGTGTCTTAAAGCGGGGCCCCAGCTCAAACCCAAACCAAAACTAATATATAGCCATGCTGTATATATAGTATATACACACCATGTTGGCCAATAAATAAACCGACGCCATTGATAAGCCCAAGGCAATGCAATTGATTTTATGTATTGTATTGCTGATTGCACGCTCTGTGCGCGCCCTTATTGAATTTCTACACAGTGCGTGTTTGTTCTGTGCTGTTCGCTTGTGTTTGTTTGTTTGTTTTTGTTTTGTTTGTTTGTTTGTTTGTTTGTTTGATTGTTTGTTGTGTGCCCTTTTGGTATATACCACCAACGCAGTCTTGTTGAATTATTGCTGCGGGCATTCTGCCTTACATTTTAACTATTCGCATTCTAATGGATTTTTCTACATTAGGCAAACAAACATATTTCAGTTATCACTCTTGTTTTCGACTTGTTTTTCTACAGTTTAACGTTTGCATGCGAATTTCATCGGTACAGCCCCCCTGTCTCTGCCGTCCAACTGCCTGTTTACTGTAATAAATGCCAGTTAAGGAAAATATGGCTGAAAAGCTGTTTGAATGACGTAGAGCGAGAGGGGAGGGGGGCGTTGCAGTGGCAGTCAGTCGGAACTGGAGATGGTTATGTCAAACAATTTTGCATTACATTTCACAGTCAGAAAATGTTGCGAATACGCGAACTTATTGATACGCCAGACTAGAGATGGGGGAGTTTTTTTTTTTTTGTGTCAGCGAACATTTGTTGTTGTGTGTTAAATGTGATCATTCCTTTGATTCATTCTCTATAAATCTTCGATATTGAAGTTTTCTTCAAGTTTTTAACAACTTAAGTAGTTTTATCATAAACGAAACTTGTTGTGACACTTGCTGCTAGATACCAACTCCTCAAACTTGCTGTTTGTCAGCATTTAATCCCATTTCCGTTCTTATCTCTGAGATATAGAGCACATAAATTGCACAACCTGTAGATGTTTGGCTTCAGTTAGAGAATCTGATGAATCATGCAACATTTCCGTTGGGCTGCCCTTTTATTAGAGTATTTTCTTTGTACTCCACAAACATCTGTGAGGCTAACAATTATGCGCAAAATTAAACTTAAAATGAATGGACCCATGATGTCATCGCCTTTCTTATCCAACCAACACTCACCTGTACATACACACCTGTGTGTGTGTGTGTGCATGCCAGCTTTTCATAGCGTAATATCAATTTCTGTTGGAATCATTGATAAGCCGGCGGCGTGGCGTATGGGGCATGGCTACTCGAAATTACGCATACGACAGGTGGACCAAGGTCATTAACTAACGCTTGACTTTGGCTTCGTGTAATGTTGCTGCCGTAGGCCGTCGAAAAAATATGTCGTAATGATTCAGTTTTCCAATCGTTGCCTTATCGCAGTCGCGGGTTTTGTTTCTGTTTTTATTTTTGTAATTTTGTTTCAGTCACTTTTGCTGCGCTTATCAAATTGGCTTTAGGCATTCCAAACTTGTTGTTCTCATACCTGATTAGATATGAACGCGAGCGCGCACCCCTTTTTCGCGGAGGGGGAGCGCTCATTATTGCAAAATGCGTGGAGCTCTACACAAAAGTATTTATTGTTTATTTTTTGTTATTTAATTGTTGCCTGTGCTCTGCTCTGTTACAATAATAATTCAACGTTTTTATGCTGCCTCAAAAATGATGATTCATTAATTTTTGTCACCACATTTTAAAACATAGCTCGCTGGATTTTGATAGCTTTACGCATGCAATTTGTCAAGAGCTTGCCCAACATGACCGGCAATTTATCACAGCGGCTGCCTGTTGAGCCCGCCCCCACCCCCGCCGGATCCAACGTGCCACATGGTATTCCACGGAGTAGAACCCGCTCACGTGCTCATCGATTGCTATTTAAATGCAATTAGGCACTTGATCTTTTGCTATTAGCTGGGGATAAAAAAAAGCACGAATGTAATTAAAAGCGATTACATTTGCGGGGCATACACACGAGTACTTGGATCAATAGGCGGTAGCCAGAGCATAAATGAATGAAAATTCAATTGTGGCGGAGAGGAAAATGTGTGTGTGTGTGTGTGTGTGTCTAGTTGAGTAGAGTGTGTGACATGCGTCCAGTAAATTTGCATAACGAAAATGTTTTGCCAAGTTTTCTCAAGTTCGACTTTTGTGTCACAAAGAGAATATGTCAATGCACCAGCAGCATCGGTACAAACGGGAGGGGGAAGCACGTGTACTCGGACTCGGGCCAAGTCAAAGACGGAGACGCATGTCAAGCTGTCAATGGCCGGCCACAGGACATGGCATGACATGACCGGACCCAACAAAAGCCTGTGCTTTATGTGAAATATGGGTTTTGCTCTCTCTGCCATATTTCTTGGCATGCAGACTCCCGGCCAGATCATTTACATATAAATAACCAAAACGAGTCGTAGATATCGCAGGCGCATTGATTTGGCATTTGCCAGCTGTATTTCACGCAATTCCAAATTCGAATGCGTTCAGGGAAATCGCCTGGTGTTGCTTGAGTTTTCCCAGCAGCGCTTTTAATGACTTTTCCCAGCACATTTTATGGGCTTTGCCTCATTTTCGGCGTATTTAAAATTTTATATATATGTTTATTCACATTGCCTGCCGCACATATCTTCTGTGCACTTCATCGCAGGCGACGTTCGCGGGGCCTCTTTAAAATACTTATACTTAAATGCATACTTAAATATATGTACAGAGTCGTAAAATTTTCAAATGTTTATTTGAGTGCGTGGAAATGGCAGCTTCCAGACGCGCGCGCGTTTCTGTGTGTGTGTGTGTGTGTGTGTGTGTGTGTGTGTGCTTGTGCACAATTCGTTGAACTCTTGATTATGAGCCCGATTGAGACGTTGTACTCCCGATGGTTTTGTCTGAGGCGTATTTTGGGGAAAGGAAAATTAAAATTGAAGTGCATAATTTCACACATCATGTCAAGTTTTCCCATGATCCAAAACTTTTCACTTTATTGCAAATTCTGTTTTCGCATTTAGATTAGAAACTGTCTTAAGCTAAAACATTTTTGGCCAACAGCTATAAATGGAATATGAGATCACGTTTAACTCGTTTGAATTAATGGATTCCCAAAAACTTAAACGAATTACAGATTTGGATAATACAGCTATTCGAATGTTTTAGGGATACATATTTAGTATAGTCTTGGCTTCGTATTACCTGTATTTATATTTTGCCTAGTTTTGTATTCATATGTGCGCATAACTCTTGCATTCGTTGCCTACTTCTAGGAGCTTGCTGCAGCTCACATACACATACACAGCCATAACCAACACATGTATACATAAGTCTGTGCCTTTGTTTTCTTTTTGGCTGCTTTTGTTGGCGACTCTAAACAAAAGTGCGACAGATTCTTCATGTGGCTTTGCTCACAGCGTGCGCACAGATGTGTGTGTGTGTGTTGATAACCCATAAAAATGTTTTCACCTGGCGCAGATTCAGTGAAATTGCCGAACATTTTACACATTTGCTCAACAATAACAAGAAGCAATGAAAATCTTTTCGTTTTTATTGCCACATTATTTGTCAGTCGCCGCTTTGCGATTTAAATGAAAAGCCTTTTCTGATAATTCAAGTGGAGCGCAAAATAAAAATAATTGCCATTTTATCATAATAAAAATGAAAAGAAGCAACGCAATGACCAATAAAAGCTAAACTGAAGTGGAATTTCATAATTTATACCCATATCGATTACAGCAGGGATAAATGTTCGTTTTTGTTTTGTCAAGCTTTATGTTTTGCGTTCAATTCATCGCAAATTCAGGCTTCAATTAATATGCGGGCAACGGTACTAATTATAAGCTGGCGGCTTGGATCATGCCATTAGCCTTGACAGTCATTAAAAACAAAATAACTTTAACAAAGTGCCGACGGATTTATTGAGTGCAAATCAGCCAAGTTGGCGGCGTGGGTAATTCGGAGCACAGGTAGAGCCCGGCTGCAGTGTGGGTGGCCGTTGCCCGTTGCCTCTCGCTCTTTATTTATTTAATTATTATACAAAGTTGCTCTAGGGCCGTTCGCTGAGGTTGGTTTTTGCCCCAAGGTCGTTGGCTGTGTGGCCCAAATGGGCTTTGTCTTTGTCTCGTCGCAGTCGTTGATTGGCCCAGCGCAATCTCCGTTTTGGCCAAACAATTTTTGGACCATAAAATATGCACAGGAATTTTTCATGTCATTAAAATGTGTAATTTATGCAATGCATAAATTCAATTCCGTCTGTCGAATCGAATACAAATTTAAATTTAATAATATCAACAATATGCCTATATATTAATATTATGCGATTTTTCAATCAAGTGCACACAAGACGGGTACAGGGTGCGCGAGACTTTGGCGTATTTCAATAAAAAGAACTTTTGTAACATACAGGGTGCTTCTGATTCTATTGCAAAAGTGAACTTATCAATATGCCAAGCAGCAGCATATATTGAAAGTGCATTCAAGTAGAAACTCATAAGCAGCAACATGTTCAATGTGAAAATCAAAGTCAAAGAGGGCAACAACACACTGCCCCGTAGCGCACAGCGCAGCAATGGCAACTCCTTGTTGGCCGCCGGCGGCAGCGGACGCAACAGTCCCGCCACGGGCAGCCTGCGCAGCTCTTTGGCATCCTCGAATGGCGGCTCGTTGCGGCGCAAGGGCAAGCATGTGCGCATCGTGACCAGCTACGATCCCTTGGAACGCGACTACGAGCGAAACAGACAGCAGTTTGGTAAACATTTGTGCAGCAGTCGAGGGCTCTGAAATCTCTGAGTATAGCTGCTAATCCGGTTCTTCATTTCATTTGCAGATAACATTGATGGCGTGACGGAGCTGCGTCTGGAGCAGTACGAGATACACATTGAGCGCACCTCGGCTGGCCTCGGCCTGAGCATAGCCGGTGGCAAGGGCTCGACGCCCTTTAAGGGTGACGATGACGGCATATTCATATCGCGCGTCACCGAAGCGGGACCCGCCGATCTGGCCGGCCTGAAAGTGGGCGACAAGGTGCTCAAGGTGAATGGCATTGTTGTCGTGGATGCCGATCATTACCAGGCCGTCCAGGTGCTCAAGGCATGCGGCGCCGTGCTGGTGCTTGTGGTACAACGCGAGGTGACGCGCCTAATTGGCCATCCCGTCTTCAGTGAGGACGGCAGCGTCTCACAGATCTCCGTAGAGACGCGCCCTCTGGTTGCCGAGGCACCAACTGTCACACAGGAGCGCTACATTCCGCCGCCCATTCAAATAGTTCCAGAACAGCTGCAGCAGCAGCCCGTTCAGCAGCTGCAACAGCTGGCGCCTGCCCAGGCACATGGCTATGCGGGCAATGTGTTTGCCACGCCCACGCCAGCAACAAATGGCATGTTGCTGGAGAACGGCAAGGTAGGAGAGCATAGTCATACTCTTGCTTTTGCTTGATATTGATTAATTTATGTTGTCCTTTGTGGTTTTATAGCTGGATTTGGCGCCGTTAAGCTTTATTCAATTGCACACAACGCTCATACGCGATCAAATTGGCCAGGGATTGGGTTTCAGCATTGCCGGCGGCAAGGGCTCACCGCCGTTCAAGGATGATTGCGACGGCATTTTCATATCGCGCATTACCGAGGGTGGGCTGGCGCATCGCGACGGCAAAATCATGGTCGGTGACCGTGTTATGGCGGTGAGTGAACTGACAGACGCTAATGGCATTTCATTGTATAATCCAAAACCCAACCAACCACCTACTCGTTGCAGATTAACGGCAACGACATGACGCAGGCACATCACGACGCGGCTGTCGCCTGCCTCACCGAGCCGCAGCGGTTTGTGCGCCTCGTGCTTCAGCGCGAATATCGCGGCCCTCTTGAGCCGCCGACGAGTCCGCGCAGTCCGGCCGTGCTCAACTCGTTGAGCCCCTCCGGCTATCTGGCCAATCGACCAGGTTAGAAATTCATAACGCCTCACTGCGTCCTTCTCTTAACGCTGTTAACTGTTTTTTTTCTGTTTCTGTCTCTGCCTTGCTCTCTGTAGCTAACTTTGGACGCTCTGTGGGCGATGAGCAGCCCTACAAGTACAACACATTGGCCACCACGCCCACGGCAACTGTGACGACAGGCGTTGTGCACAACAACAACAACAACAACAATAATAATACGCTGCCCAGCAACAAGACTAACGGATTTGCAACAGCTACTGCTGTCAATAATGCTCCTTATACTGCTGCAGCTGCCCCAGCTGCTGTCCCAGCAGCTGCTCCCGCTTCACACATTGACAAATCCACAGGTCAACCGGTGCCAGCACCACGTCGCACGAACTCGGTGCCTCTGGGCGATGGCGACGCTGCAGTAAATGGCGCTGCGTCCACCACCAGCAGCGGCGACTCTGGTGAGGCTCAGGTAAGATGACAAACGTTTACTTTGTAGTAGCTCAGCTAGTCTCCTAGCTTTAGTTAACTGTTTAGTTGTGTGCACGTCATTTTAATGTTGCTCATAAGCTCGTTTGTTCGTTCCCTAATCATGCCCAGGCTAGTCTTAAGTAACCTTTAGGCCAACACTAAAAAACCACAACAACTTGCGCGACAGTTGGCCCAACACACGTCACAGGTAGGTTCAACTTCAACTGCTGTTGGCCAAATGACGCGCAAGCTGGCAACCCCGAAGAGATTCATGCAAATTGTTGTTGATAAACACATAAACAAACCTTCCATATAAATTTATTTATATATATACAATAAAATAAATATATATCTAATTGTGCTAATACATACTCGTATCTGCCAGATTATCAACCCATAACCCTAGCTCTTAGCCAACACATACATATATACTACAATATTAGTACACACATCTATCTATATATATATATATATATAGATATATATATTTATATAAAATTTGTTTGTGTTTGTTTTGCATGTGCCCTGTGCGCGTTCCTTTACGTGTTTTATCTTGTTACCTTTTTACATTTTTGGTCTCATATTTTATACCCCCCCATACCCAAACATATCTAGTATATAAGTGTGCACAAGCGATTTGTGTGTTGTTTCTTGTCCTCGGCTTTTAGCGTACTTTTGCACTGAGATTGAAGAGCCCAGTTAAGGTCTGGACAGGAATTGTATATAAATATAATGCTACACATACATACCATCTACAGTTATTTAGGAAGTTTAGCTTAGCTTTTAGACCCAAAATCAAAAGAAAATATGTAACGAAATTTACAAAAACCAACATATTTTTGTTTCTTTTTCTATAAACCCAAATGTTGCTTTAAACCTGAACTTTCCACAAAAAAAAAACCAAAAAAAAAAAAAAAAATCCAAAATCAATAACTTGTCCAAATCGAATAAAACAAATACAAAAACCAATCAACAAACTGCGTCCGCAATCAACGAGCAGCCCTCATCCCTACGGCCATTGACCAGCGATGATTTTCAGGCGATGATACCGGCACATTTTCTCAGCGGCGGCAGTCAGCATCAGGTGCATGTGGCACGGCCCAACGAGGTGGGCGTCAGCGCTGTCACTGTGAACGTGAACAAGCCGCAGCCCGATTTGCCCATGTTCCCAGCCGCGCCCACCGAGCTGGGCCGCGTCACCGAGACCATCACCAAGTCCACATTCACGGAAACGGTAATGACGCGCATCACCGACAATCAGCTGGCGGAGCCATTGATCAGTGAGGTGACTATCACAACATCACGCATACACTAAAAAAAAAAAAAACGCAAAAAACAAATACTAGAAACTTAGCAAAGCTTTACAAAGCGACGCCACGCTCTGCCGAGTGCAGCCAATTTTGAGACATGTTCCTGTTACCCACCCGAGTGGCGGCGCCCCATGGGGCATTATTTTGCTGCTCATTGCTCGGGCAATCAACCACAAGGATGAGAGCTTCTTTTCACCTACTTATGCACACCATACACACACACACATACACAAACACACACACACATACACCCACACCCACATACAACCACGAAAAAACACCTTTTAAATTGTTGTATTCAAATGTAATTGGCTCTTTCTATTGTTGGCCCTCATCTTATGTTTGTATAGCCCTTAAGCACCTACACATATAAAACTTATTTGGATATACATTGTAAATAAAAAAAAATTTTTGTGCGTTTTTGCAAGCGATTTGACTTGAACGAAACTCAGCTCCTTGCTTCTGGCAACGCTCCTAACGCTCCAGCACAGATCCAATAGATGGACAATTTCCTTCAATTTGAATGTTGAAGCGTTTGAGCTAAGCGTAGCCAATGCACATAATTAAACAATTATAATTGAAATGTTAAGCATTATGCAAAACACGCACATCGAAACTAATTAAACAAAAAAAGAATTAGTAGTAGTTATTTATAGTTTAGTAGCTGTAGTTGGTTTATGGTCTTGCATAACAATCCGTTAATATTGTATACAATAAGCATTCAAAGGATTTGCATTTGGTAAATGGTGCATGCAGGAATTTTAATTTTACACACGTATCGTTTAATAATTACTAAATTACAATTGATTGTTTTAAATGAGAACTAAATGATTTGATCAACCTACTAACGAATTAACTAGGAACATTAACTTTTTTACGCATTTAAGAATAATTATTATTTTAATTGGTTTTTTTAACGCGTACCTAATAAAACAGCTATATTATAATTTTGGTATATATTTTTGTGACGAAAGGGTTTAATGCATATTTATAAATTTAATTCCAACCCTTATGTGTGTGTTTGTAATTGTTTATATCCCTATCTGTCTGTTTCTGAAATATCTTATCTAACAAATAAGAAGTTGCATATGTTGAAACATCAATTCCGAGCCCAGAAGTGACCATATCCTTTAGCTCCGATCGGAACAATCAGGAATTTAAGTTCATTTTAGATTTTTATTTAGCTTTATTTATCTTTTCACATTCCATTTTGCCAGAGATAAGATAACCGATTGAATAGAAGGGCATTCAGTATTCGTCACATCAAAGATAACAGCTCTTACTAGTTGCCAATAGTTACTAATAGCAGTTGATTTAAGCGAAATTGTTTGCAGTTAAGAGCAGCAATTCAACTAAATTATATCTCGAGCCTCTCTCTTTGAGGTTTCCCAAAGCAAATACTTGTGATTATGAGAGCTGTAACTTAGCTCTGTTCGAATTGCAACTAAAGCCGGCTTTGCACACACCCACACACACACACACACACACACACAAACATTAGCCACTCGAGTGTCATCGTCTAAAGCCCTGTTGAAAATCTACAAATCTGTGCAACTCTTAACCGCCTGCCACATGAATAAGTAAATTGGCAAACTATGTCGTGCTTGGCGCACACATACACAGAGCCGCACATGAATACAGAATCCTTTTAATAATGCATTTTGTCTGGAAAGTACACGAAAAAAGCGTTTGTTGCAAGAGTTAATAAAGTTCTACAAATGGGCCACGCCCACAGTGCAATGGTTTGTGTCAACGACAGTCGTTGAACAAACTTATGAATTTTACGTTTTATTCGCCTGTCAACTGGCTGTGTGTAAACACTGACATCAAGGCAAACTTGCATTCGAATGACAAATAAAATATTTAATTGTTTTTAATTTCACTTGTTGGCAAAGTCTTTCCGAATCTCTGACAGACGATTGGCCAACGGCGTCGATTGTGCCACTTTGTTGCCAGCAAGCAAAGAAAGCAATTTGCTTTAGTGAATTGACAAAACTTATATAGTATAGTCGTAATTATATAGTTTATGTCTGCAGCAGAAAGGCTCTTCGGGCGAATGCCTGTCAACTGCTCGGCTAATGAATGTAAAACTTGAAATATATTTTGACATTTTATGAAAAGGCTTACAACGTGTGTGTGTGTGTGTGTGTGTCTTGTTGAGTTGTGCCAAGCCGCAGGCAGCTTTTTACCAACGTGCAACTTGCAACTTGTGTGTGGCATATATGCATACACCTGTTTGTTCTGCTAATTAAGATTAAAGTACAGTGGCAAATTCTCAGGACATTTGTCGGCATGCCAAATAACTATTTTAACTTATTATATTTTATTTAATATGCAATCAAGTTATGCTGAATGCATAAAGCATAAATAGCTATTTAGTATTATCTTCGGGCTCTTAACTATCTGGTGTTTTGTTATATCTGTTTTGTTGGAACTTTAAGAATAATTTGCATGTCTCTTGTTTGGTTTTAAAACTTGGTGTCTTTGTGAATGTCTTTTTCTAATCTATCCTTTAGTTAAACATGAGACTCGAAATTTGTTCATGTAAATATCACCAACAATTTTGCACACACTCACACTCATTTATGAGGCCACCCACCCACCCACATAAGCACTCATCATAATGTGCTCTTCAAATTTCAGCTAGAACACAGCAATATTTTAGTAGTATGATTTTTGTTTAGTTTTATATTTTACCACACGCACAACATCCACTTATATCGCATTTTGTTGTCTCTGTAGGAAGTGGTGCTGCCCAAGAATCAAGGCTCACTCGGCTTCAGCATCATCGGCGGCACGGATCACTCCTGTGTGCCATTCGGCACACGCGAACCGGGCATTTTCATTTCACATGTAAGTAAAGCGAACAGAAAATTGCTGAGATTGTGGTGCGGTACGGTGATGGGGGGGATGGGCGAGAGATGGCTTTTAAAACTAGGGACAAACTTTTCAAACTAATGCAGTTCTCGCTGCCACAGCTTGCGGTTGCAAATGAGCTGCACAATTAGCTCGCAGTGTACTCAGCGTCTTTACAAACAATTAAATGAACCATGGGGTCTGGCGAACTCACAACGTTTGACATCTGTGTGTTAGACAAAGTTATATAAACTTAAGAGCGGCTTATGACCGCCTTTGCCTGGGCCTAGTTTTCTTTCTTCAAGTTATAGACATCCACCACGATATTCACCTAAAAATGATGTATTCTCCGATAGATGTTAAACATGTATAAGTATGTTTACAAATGTCTTGGCAAAGGAGTTTTTTTTTTTTCATAGTTCCAGACGGAATATTTATTTTGAAGAGGTAAAAAGATCACTGTCTCAGCTCTTATAGTGCGTCGATCATCAGTCATTGGGAACTCATTCTTTTATATATTTTATGTATCATAATGTTTTCTTTCCATTCATAGATTGTGCCCGGGGGCATTGCATCCAAATGCGGCAAGCTGCGCATGGGCGATCGCATATTGAAAGTCAACGAGGCGGACGTCTCGAAGGCCACACATCAAGATGCTGTAATGGAGCTGCTGAAGCCTGGCGATGAGATCAAGCTGACCATACAGCACGATCCGTTGCCGCCTGGTTTTCAGGTAAGCCAAAATATTGTGAATAGTGTTATTGTACGCCCCTTTTGTATTCAGTTTGCTTTTGTGCTGTATATATATGGTATTTGTATTAATGTAAGAATCAAAAATTTAACGCTTTAAGTCACCACACCTATTTATACTTCTCTTTCACCTATGCTCTATGAATGCTTAAACAAACATTTACGATGCAAAGCACATAGAAGTAGTTTATGTAAAGACGCAGGTAAGATTTTTCAATACTCTACACTCTGCAAACTATTGGAAACGCTAAAGATACCTATATAACCAATTGCACCCAATAAAACCGGCCCCAATTAGAGATTATTTAAGCTTTATTACAAAGAATATCTTTAGGAGCACAGTAATTCTCACCATTAAAACTGTATTTATGCAAAATCCAAGTGTATGTTACGGGCAGAAGGAAGCATCTCCTACCCCATAAAGTATATATATTCTTGATCAGCACCAATAGCCGAGTCGATCTAGCCATGTCCGTCTGTCCGTATGTATGAACGCAAGGATCTCAGAACCTACAAGGGCTAGAAATTTGAGATGTAGGTGCTCCTACTGCACAGATCGAGTTTGTTTCCGATAATCGATAACTTACTAACTAATATAATATATATATGCATTTGATGTTGCAAGAAGAGGGTTCAGGGTATCCTCTAGTCGGGAGCTTCTGACTAGAACCTCTTACTTTTTTTTTTGTACTTTAAGAATTAGTTCTATAAATAAAATGGTCTAGTACGATACGATCCCCTTTTTATAGAAACAGGACACATTTGTATAGATGTTTAACAGATTAAAGAATAAATTGCAGATAAGATATTGGCAAAGCTCTATAAAAAGTAAATAGATGGGAGAACAAGCCAATGCCCAACTCAAAAAGTTTCGATTGGTATTTTAATTTGAACAAAATGAAATATCAGCTCTGTCTTAATGCCAGGTGATATAGATAAACGATGCTCATACAGTTTCATCTAATTAAGAACTATTGTTAATGAGACTCGGATTTATTTATTTAATTTAATTGACGCTAGAAAATAAGAGTATTCAAAAAAACGCCATTGTTACCTGTTAGTCTTGGCCAACTTGTAAAATATAAGACAGCCAAGATATTTAATTTTTTTGATTGCTTTGTCTACGGCTTATATCTACCGCAATATCTTGGAAAACTTTATCGTCATAATCAAGTGAATTGCTTTACCTTAGTTTCTGCTCTGTTTTTATAATTGTCGAGCACTTAAGCAAAGCCAATGCTAATTTTTATGCTATTGTTATTGTTGTCGTTGTTGAAAATCGCAGGAAATATTACTTGCCAAGGCCGAAGGCGAGCGCCTGGGCATGCACATTAAGGGTGGCTTGAATGGACAGCGCGGTAATCCTACGGATCCGTCTGACGAGGGCGTCTTCGTGTCTAAAATTAACTCCGTTGGAGCAGCACGACGCGACGGAAGGCTTAAGGTAACGAGTGGGTTCCTTGACAGTTGGGCGCAAAAGTTCGTTGCCCAACTGTGGCGGGACACATGAAATTGAATTGAATTGAATTGAAGTGAGCTAAACTTTTCTCTCGACCCCAGGTGGGCATGCGTCTGCTGGAGGTCAATGGTCATTCGCTTCTGGGCGCCTCGCATCAAGATGCGGTCAACGTTCTGCGCACTGCCGGCAATGAAATTCAATTGGTAGTCTGCAAGGGCTACGACAAATCTAGTTTAATGCATTCCATTGGCCAAGCAGGTGGCATGAGCACTGGCTTTAACTCGTCTACATCCTGCAGCGGTGGCAGTCGCCAAGGTGAGTAAAACCCAAAGTCGTAACGATTTTCCCATGTTAACTTAACTTAAAAAATTGTTTCCTCGCAGGCTCTCGTGCTTCAGAAACCGGCTCGGAGCTTAGCCAAAGTCAGAGCGTCTCCAGCTTGGATCACGACGAGGACGAGCGTCTACGACAGGTAAGTCCCAGTCATATTGCCCACTGATGAAACCCTATAAATCTCGACCACTTGCAGGACTTTGATGTATTTGCGGGACAACAGCCAGATATTGTTGCCATGCCGGAGCCCACTAGCCAAACAGGCCTGGCAGCAGCTGCTGCTCTTGTGCACGGGGCGCCTTCACCCACACCCACCACACCGACGCCGCCCGCTGGGTCTGCGGCACACGCCGACTCGGCACAGCCTGACACAGTGGCCGCGCAGACTGTGGCGCTTATACACGCCGAACAAACGCAACAGCCGCCGCAGACGCAGCAAGTGGCAACAATTGGGCAGGAGAAGAGCACCCAGGAGAAGGTAAGTCAACGTCCTTGGCCTTTGGCAGACTGGTCAGTAGCCTAGCTTACCTACCTGTCGTGTTTAAATCAAATTAGGTGCTGGAAATTGTGCGCGCTGCGGATGCCTTCACCACCGTGCCACCGAAGTCACCATCAGAGCATCATGAACAGGATAAAATACAAAAGACAACGACGGTTGTTATATCGAAGCACACGCTCGATACGAATCCTACCACGCCCACCACACCCGCCGCACCTCTGCCGCTGTTGCCCGCGGAGTCAGCGACCGCGGCCGCGGCCACGACCACGGCACCAGTTGCTGTTGCACAGACCCAGACACAGACCAATTCCAGTCAGCAGCAGCAACAACAACAGGTATGTATCCAGATGCACGTCTTTTGCTAACTTACTTCAACATTTCTGTGTCTCAATATTTTTATGTGTGTGTACGTGTAGTGTGTGTTTGTGTGCCTGTGTGTGTGTGTGCGTGTTACCTTTGTTTAACGTCTCGATGTCCTTTTCATTTTTCTGTGCCGCACTCTTAACATACACGAGCGCAAGTGACTGCTCTGCTGCGCGTTCAACAAACCCAAACATAAAACCCTAAAAAGTCAAAAACCCTTCGCCTGTTTTATTTACTCATTTTATTTATTTATTTTTTGCCTGTTATCTTCAATAACTTCACTAACGTCTGACCTTTCGGGTCGCGTGTCTGTGTGTATGCGTGTGCTTGTATCTGTGCCTGTTCGTATCTCAAATTTTATAAAATTTGTACATTTCATATAACTCATATGCGCTAACATTTGTCATGTCTCGCAAATCTTACTACATGAAAAGAACACTCCATCTACTTAAAATTCACATCACATAATCGTTTCGTTCGCTCGTTCCTCAGTGCCTGCAGCTCTTAGAGAATGTCAGCCTCCGTGTTTTTTGTTAATGCAAATTCTAATTTGAAAATCGCAAAAATATATACATATATTGTACATTTTTAATTGTGTCAGAAACCCCAAACCCAAATCGTCATATACTTCAATACGCATATATTTATGTGCCTAGGCTTACAGCCCAAAATCGGAAAGCTGAATACTTGGTTTTTTTTTTAGTAGATTCTGGCCCTTTGAGATTGCTACTTATGTAAATGGCCCAGTAATAAGTCATATACATCGAGATATAGTGAATTATTTACAACAAATTTTGACTGAAATTCAAGAAAAGTGAAAAAATACGGTAATCAATTTATCGTCTGACTCGTTAAGATACATTAAATACGCTGATCAAGTTATTTCAAAAAAGTTATTGACTTTCAAACTAACATTCCAAATAATAACCTAACTTATCTATATTGTGATGGTTCTTTGATTATAGTTAAGTTCTTTGATGTAGTTAGTAACTATAAAAGCTATACTTAAAAGATAGAAAATAATTTTAAAAAGTTGAAGTCCTTCAACTTGAATGGATACTTAACGTATTTCAAATTGAAAAGCATAACCTCTTATAACTATGATATAATGTTGAGCCACTTTAAATGAGTATCGGAAAGCATATATTTTAATAATGTATTATAACAAAAGTTAAGAAACGTTATAAATGTCCAGAAGTTAATTTGATCGATTACCCAAAATATCCCAAGAAATATCCATATAGTATATCAATATTACCCTCTCAACAAATGGAACACAACATCAATCACACGCTACTCATGAGTATTCATTATAAATCGTGTCGTATGTTTGTTTGTCATTTGCTGCATTTTGATTTGATAGTATATAGTACTATACAATCATACTTAGTAATGTCTCGGGAATTGCGCGTTGGCTGTGGGGGTGGCGTTGGGCAAGTGTGAGGGTGGGTTAGGCATAAGTTATTGTACAGTAGAGTGCATGCGGAAGGGTGCTGTGCTAAGCCCCTATATATATATATATATATGTATATCGCTGTTGTAGCTGTTGGCTCCCCTGTTGATGCCAGGGCCTGGGAATCAGAGCTGGGACCACGTGTCCCACATTTATTGAAATGGCAGCGGGCAATTTATTATTTATTAGCATATTCCGAAGACCACATTTCTTTCGTTTTGCCTGCTCAATATTGTTGTTGAAGTTGTTGCCGTTGTCGCTGTTGTTGTTGTTATTGTTGTTGTTGCTGTTGTTATCTTATTTATGCTACTTACATTTTATATCAATTTCTGTTTGCGCCTTTATTGTTACCTTTTGGGCTGGCTGCTGCCGCTGCTTGGGCTTGTGCGGCATGCTATTGTGTATGATTGTTGTGCCTGTTGCCTTACCTTAAATCGGGTAGCATTTGGATTTGCATTGGCAGCAGCAGCAGCAGGAAAAGAGAAAAGAAATACCTAATATGCATAGATGGCACGTATAATAAATGTATATACAAATATATATGTATATATGTATATATATATGGTTTATTTTATATATCTACATAAGTATTCAAAAACTGCGGAAAGGAATTTCCATTAAAATGTCTCTTATCTTCTTCTCATTCCTTCTTTTTATTGCTCTCAATGACGTGCGCGCCGTTCCCTGCTTTTCAACATATTGTTTTTCCTCTTTTATATTCATTTTTCTTTTTAATATTATATTTTCTCCGTTTTTGTTCTATTTTATTTTTTATTTGCGTTTCGCATTCGTTTCGATTCGCAATTGTCATTTTCCTTCGCGAATTGCGCAGATCTCAATTCAGCGTATTTCTTAACCGTCAGATGTTTCCCACTATAAGACTGAGTATTTAGTTTAAAATACAGGAAAATATTTAAAATAAAAGAAAGGTTAAACAACAACAAACTAATAATACATACAGACAGACAGCAGCATGTCAAAGTCAATCTGTTAAAGATGTTGTTAACATATGAAGCCTCGTCGTGTTCAATGGGCAAAGAGTTACTAAACACTGGCTGAAAATAACTCAAAACACAGAGGCTATATCTATTCGTAGGGCAACAAATTCACTCGATCTAGCATCTTAAGAATACTGACCGCACCTGTCTAAGCAAATGGTTTCAATATCCCTCACCGACCAGCTGTCTATTGGGCTAATTAACTATGTAAATGTTGAAAGGACATGATACAAATTGTAAAGAAAATCAAAAAAGTAGAGTCAACTTCGGGCTGCCGAAGATTAAATACCCTTGCAGACATTTAAATTGTTGCGAACGTGTTGTAATTGATTTTTTAAAAACTAAATATGTATGTATTTTTATTGAATGTAGATATCTTCAAAATTAAAATATCTGTTGTATTTATGGAAGCTGTGGTCCGAATTTCATGAAATCTGGCTGAAACGCTTGAAAATTAATTAAAGCAAAGTATTTGTCTCCAGTTGGATTATTAAATTTTCACAAATATGGGAGACAACAAATGAAATTATTAACCGATTGTTCAGTCTAAAAGCAAGTTAGGTTAGATTTTTGTTTTTCGAATTGGTCAACATATAAGATACTTAATGCATGGCCAATCGTCGTTAGGCTAACTCTCAGTTACGCTCTTCAAAGTATAAACTGTACCATGTTTAACTTGCTTATTAGGGAATAAAGATATGTACTTCATTGGGCAAATATCTGCAGGGATATATATAAATATGAAAACATCTTTAATACACACTCAGAGTCCCTCCCGGTATTTTATAAAGCGAAAACAAAATGAAGATGTATTAAACATTCCTGTGCCGCCATTTTGCGGCGTCCAGTATTCACATACTGTATAAGTATTGTTGTCTTTCGATGTTTACAAGGTCGTATGTATGTATGTATATGTTATATGTATATGTATCTGAGGCAGTGTCTATTATTGTAAATTATTGTTATAGTTATATTTAACACTGTGCGACAGGCACACGAAAAGGTCCAACTACGCAACTAAATAGTACTCACAGATAAATATCATACTACTTACTTGGAGTCTCACAAGGTACAAATAAGCCAAAAAACAAAAAAGTTAATGTCTGGCCAACTATTATACTAACTATTGAATGTTGAACAAACTTTCACTACAACTAGGATTTTAAGTATGTGTTATGTTACATCTATTGGAAATCAATTTGTTAATAGTTAATTGAATGGGAGAGTGGTTGCTTTTGGAAGAGTTAGCTTTTTGATTTGATCAGTTGGTTTATTTTCTTGGTCGTTAGTTAATGTTAGTCATTATATAATACATGCGGCTAGATAAATGGAATAATGGAGTATGCATTTTTGATGTCAATAAATGAAATCTAAATGTTCTAAACGTAACTGCGTGCACTTATTTCGTGTATGCTTCAAGGAGCGGGAATATAAAGATTATTATTGAGAGATATCATAATAGACAGGGTTTTCTTTCTTTTTACGCGTGGTTTCAAAACGTTTACATTGATTACTCGGTGTGCATCCTTTATGTTTTGTCCATTTTGTTTTCATTGTAAGTTCTCTCATTGTTTCCTTTCGTTCTTGTTAAACGTCCTTGTCTCTGTTTCGCCACGCCGTACACTCGTTTTTAAGTACGCCGTAACCGTTGTGTGCAGCTCATTCCATCCATCAAGCAAATTGGCCAGAGCAACGCAATTGCACCTCATCATCAGACAGCGACATTGCTAATTGGCTAACAAAGTGCTGGCGGGCCTGTACCTGTACCTGTACGTGTACGTAATGTTAAGAAAAAAAAAAAAAAAACAAGCTGGTTGCCATAGCACCAAACATGTCATCATGTGCACAACCAACATTCAACAGCATATCAACATCCACAACAGACCACACACTCAAACTCAAATTCAAACTCAAACGCAAACTCAAACGCACTCAATTAACGTCGCACATTGCAAATTTGTGTTTCATGCTTGTGTGTGAAGCTGTTCCCACCACCAACAAAACTAAAAACTAAATGAAAAACCCAAAAATCCAAAATCCAATAGCAGCGCGGCACACAGACACCGGAACGTGTGGCGCCCGGAGCACGTTATTCCTATCAGCAAATGCTGGAGAGCCAGGAGGAGAGCCGTGTGCCAGAGCCCACAACAACGCCCAAGAAGGCGGAGCCAGTGTATATCATAGACGATGAGGATGACGATGAGGACGACATTGATGCAATTGCGGAGGAGGATGAATCCTCGCCGCCCGTCGACATACAGTCGCCGCCTTCGTACGCCGACACCGACTCCGATTGCTTTGAGCGTCCGCGCGGACGCTACACCAGCGATTCGGAGAGCGATTGCCGGCCCTATAAGCCGTCACGGTCCGGGCGCAGCACGCCCGAGTACGCGGGTGGCCATCGAAAGTCCGTCAGTTTCGATCTGAGTGGAGACGAGCGCTCCAAGTCGGATTATGAGCGCTCGCGTTCCCGCACGCCAGATCGCTTCTCGCGCGCCTATGACTCGGAGCAGGATACGCGCACAAAGGCCTTGGGTCGCATGCCGCGCAAGGGTATACTGCGCGCTACCAGTCCCAGCTCCTCGGCCAGCTCCACGCTGGAGCGTCGTCCGGAAAAGCCGCCGCCCATTGTTCCGACCGTAGCGCGCATACGCGAGGTAGAATCACCACAGCTGCAGCGTGTCTCCCGCGCCACATCGCCCGAGCGACCGGGTGAGCTGGAGCGCGAGAATCCCTTCCGTCAGGTGGAGCCATATGAAGATGATGAATACACGCAAATTGCCAAGGCAATCAGCATGTCGCCGCGCTCACCGCGTGATCAGTTCTTCTTTGGCACCTCACGCTCTAACGAGGATCTGATCGAGCAGTCGCATTCCAGTGGTCGCAGCACGCCCAGCACGGTCATCTCGAAGTCGACGGAGAACTTGACGGGCGCCCGGCCCAAAGTGCCGCCGCCCACGCTGCCCAAGCCGCAGCTCAAAAAGGCCGATCTGGTGCGCAACGTGGCGCTCGAGACCTTCCAGGCCACCGATGTGGGCCAGGGTGATTTTGCGGTGTTCGAGCACGACGCCAGCACCAATACCATACACCAGGTGGCCAAGCTGCCCGTTCGCCTGGCCACCAAGTCGTCCTCCAGGCCACGCGAGAGCCCGCCGCCGCCGCCCGTCAACTACTCGACGCTGCCCAAATCACCGCTGCCCAAGCTGGCGGCTTCGCTGTTAGAGGAATCGGTCTATATGGAGGCACTACCGCCAGCACAGCGGCGTCCAAATGATTTCGTTCACGAGAACTCACCGGACAATATATTGGTAACGCCGGAGCAGCATCGGGATTTCCTGTTGCGCGAGAACGAGATGAGGAATCAGCTGCGCGCTCCCTACGAGCCGGCGCCGCCCATACCCATAGCAGCCGGCAGCGGCGGGGGCGACAACAGCAACTATGCGGTAAACAACCCTTTTCTAGATTGTTGCGACACTGACATTGACAGCCTGCCACTGCCCCCACCACCCCCAATATCAATGCCACCAACACCGACAAGCGCCGAACCACCCGCACCGCCCGCCCAGCATTCATCAGCACGTCATTTGCATGAGCCGCCACTAACCGCTGTCGCCACTAACGCAACAACATCTTATTCTCCCATTGCCAATGCTAACAACTATCTGATGGATGCCGCGCCGCTGCCGCTGCCGCAGCAGCTGCTGTTGGGGCCCGCAACGCCCGCACAAATCTTTCCCGCGGCCCAAATACTGCCCGTGCAATATGCCAGCCTGCCGCAGCCGCAACAGCCCAATAAACTTCGGTTGGGCGGTGCGGCCTCGCCGCCGCAGCCCGTGTTCAACGTGCTGCTGCGGCCCGGCGATCAGCGCCAGGTGGCGGCTGCCCAAGGTGGCGGCTCCTCCACAGCCGGGTCGCTTTATCTGCAGGCGTCACAGTTACCGGTGAGTGAAACGCGTGTTGCTGTCTCAACGTCCACGCCCGTTGCCACGCCCAAGTCGCCCTCCTATGCCACCATGAAGTTCCCAACGTTCTCGGAAATTCTGGTCAGCCCAGACTCAAATAGCAATTACCAGAACATGACCACAGCTCGCGTTGACATATCGAACTCATCGCTGGGCACCAGCAGCTCCTTCTCCATTAACTCCTCCAACTCGTCGCTGCTGACAAAGACCGCATCTGCGGTTGCTGCGCCCTACAGCAGTTACTATGAGACAGCCGAGGAAATCTATTCGACCATCGAAGAGGAGGCCATTTATAGTAATACCGCGTTCTTTGATTCCCGTCGCAGTAGCGACACCTCCCTAAATTGTCGCGCCTCCACCTCGCCCACTCCGCCGCCCTTGCCACCAAAGCGACCGCTAAAGCCCAGCAAGCTGCGCACAGCGCCGCCGCCTCCTGTGGCCCAGAAGCCGCACGGTCTGCGTGGCATGGGCAACCTTAAGCTGCGTTCGCAGTCACAGCCACAGCTTTTAACAACAACAGCACCCTCCACGCCCCGAATGCCCCAAACGCCCACAACGCCAAGTGGCAAGGAGACGACCGTGTAGCCCACTTTCGAAATGTCCACTTGAGCTAGCTCTGGCTCTGCCTGGCGTCTGTGCCTGTTGCTTTCTGGGTCAAGCTGGCGACGCTTCTTAAGTGCTCCCTAGTTAACTGCCTCAATTGCATTACCACAAACCAACTGCCCCCTGCCGCCGCACAGTTCACGACCAGGGCCTCGTGCATTTTAATTAAAATCCAACACCTTTTTAGCCATCAATTAAAAGTGCAACAGCAAATTGAGCAGCGTCGTGCAGACGCTGCTGTAGCTTTCAATATTTTTATTTGATTGATTGCTTGCCGGCAACCAACCGAGTTGTGGTTGGGGTGGCGGGCGGACAACTACTGCAACCTGCCGCATATCACCTGCAACCTGCAATCCGCCGCATCTGTCTTCCTAATTAGATGCGACTTTTTGTTGACTTTGGCGCCAGCCACCACACCTGCCAAATTCCTGCTGACACACAGCACAGACAGTCCGTGAACAGTTCAAGCTAAATGTGCGCACCCAACCGCCGCCCCTAAGCACCTCAATCAACATTCAGCTTACTCTCTTTCTCTATTTCTTTTTTTTTCTATCGCTTCCTCCCTCTCGCTCGCACGCTCGCTCTCTCTATCTGCTTTTGGTCGAGTTTAATTTGACGTTGATTGAAACGTTCGTTGCTTAAAGCGCTGCAGTTACCTCCCGCCCGCTCGATTCCTTTCTCTTTTATTTCACAACTTGGCGAACACGAATAAAAACCAACGAGAAAATTGAAGTAAAATCCACACATACACACACCTATACACAAGGCAGACACACAAATTACAAAAAATACAAATGCAATTTTTACAAATTTTACAATTTATATAGTTAATTTTTGCGTAGAGCTCTTAAGTTGATTTTAATGCTAATTTATTTTGACTAACCAAACAAGTTGAATATTTTTTTTAAATACCTATCTTAAATAAACGATTCTGTGTAATTCGACATGTTGGCTTTCACTCTTTCATTTTGTGTTGTCCCCACCCAGTTGATATGAGCTTATCTAAACGATAAGTTATGCTCTGCGTAACCTTGGCTAATTCACCTGAGCTGTACTGGTTCGCAACTTGGCTAACTGAACATGCCACGCCCCACGCCCCTGCTGCACGCTACGTGCCGCACGCTTTGGCGCCCGGCGCTGCACTGATTTGCCGCTTTGGGCAATGCGACGCAGTTGGCCTCAGCTTTGAGCCAACTCGCAGACTCGCAGTCTTATCTTATCAGTTGACACTGTTAATTGCGATACGCGATAAGCGCTGCCAATGTCTGTGTATTGATAACACACTAACACACACTAACATAAAACTCAAACACAGACACTTGAGTGGTGAAGGGGGGAATTATTCAATAGCTTATTGGCTTTTAATGCGCTGACCAGAACTGCTTGACCCGTCTGCACATGCAGCTGCTGCTGCTGCTGCAGTTGGTTGCGCTTGTGGCCATTTTCTCAACACTTTCATGGCTCAATAAATTTCTATTAGCTCGTCCGCCGTTCGTCCTGGCAGGGTGCATGGCATAGGTTATAAAGGAGCCGGTCGCCGCTCGTCGTTGCTGTTGCTTCAATCTAAGTACGAGTATCGAGTTTAATTGAAAATCGAAAAATCCGATACGAAATTAATTTCTTTACTAAAAATACAGCTGACCGGATCCTTGGCTGCCAGCTGCCGGCTCCTGGCTGTTGCCTGATGGCTTTTGTATATGTAGCTGCGTACTTGACTTGTCCTCAGGGGGAGTTGGGAATTGGGTGGATTAGCTGCTGATATCGCTTTTCCATGCACTTGTCGTTAGTCGGTCGCTTGCTGCTCTCCTTTATTTATGAGCCTGGCCTTGTGTGTTGGCCATTGTAGCGCGTTCGAGTGTGCGTGCGTGTGTGTGTGTTATTCATGCAAGCCAAAGGATAAGGTTGCAATTTGTGCAGTTTAACGCTGGCTTTTGCTCTTGCTCTTGCTCTTACTACTGCCGTTTAATGACTTTGTCGTCGTTACAGCAGCCGCCCACACACACTCGCGCCCCTCCCCCACCTTTCTTACCCTGCAGGCATTGGCCTTCTCATATTGCCTAAACCGAAGAAATTGCTTGAAAGCATAAAACCGACAGTACATGACTTTGGATGATAAATTGCCTGACCCAGTCCAGTTCTGCCCTCTGTGCTCTGCTGGGCTCATACCAGCCGCCACAGCTGTAATTTGCGTCCCCGCGCCCGTAAATTATATGCCTTGGGGCAAAAACAATGCGTTGATTCCCTCCTTTTGTTGGTCATTTCGTGAGCTGCTCCTAACATCCTTCTGTTGCTGTTTCTGCCCCGCTGCCGCGTACGCGTCCCTGTTGCTGGCGTGTCAGACTAACAAATGCTCCACCATCGTTCCATGTGCTTTTTAATAAACTTGTGCAGTGCCATCAATTTGGTTTATGGTCGTTTCGGATTTCTTTGACGTTCATTTTGAAAACTGCAGTTTTTCCAGTCGTTTAATTGAAAATAGACAACGCGAGTCAAGTTTTTGACTATTGACTTTTTGTTTGTTTTGGGTACTCATTGAATGCTTTTTTTATTTTTTATGACTTGCTAACAAAAGGTTTTGCATTTTTCCAGCTATCACCTGCGGCCGAGCATGAGAAGGCCATGGCCACACCAACACCCACAAAAGTGCCTAAATCGGTATCCGATAAAAAACGATTCTTTGAGTCTGCCATGGAGGATCAACACAAGCCCACACAAAAGACAGGTGAGTTGGTGTCTAACTGCAAAGAGAAAACAACACAACCAACACATCAAACAAGCAAGAGTAGTTCAGTTGGCAGTGACCGACTAGAAGATGCCCTGCACCCAGCGGCGAGCTGCCGTTCATCAATTCGCATATGCAAAAAAGGCTGAATTATTCTATCGTTATTTAGAGGAGTTCGTTCATTCGATAGTTGATGTCATTTCAGATGACGATGTAGATTTTTCCATGTGGTCAGAGTACATAATCTTAACACATATCTCAGTATATATAAATTCTCTAGCTTCCATAGAGGAGTGGCATACAAATCTATATACTCTTTTCACTTTTTTGAACGAGTATAAAAATTCTGTTGCGCACAAGATACACAATAATAAGATGAAAATGAAGCTCTTAGCTCTCAGTGGTTGGTTGACGGGCCGCGTATCCATTGCTTCTTGTGTCTTGTGCTGGCAATTCTTATCAGGTTTTTGCTCAGTGGCTTGTGTAATTAGAAAAGGAGGCGTGCGACTGTACGTAGCGCCTGCCTCGGTAGAATTTGCATGACAAAGAAACGTCAAAGGAGGTAAGAGTAAGACTGAGGGAGAGGGCGAGAGAAAGAGAGCCTTCACAAGGCTGCGGTTGACGTGCGCAACTGCAGTCAGGGATTAATGCTAACCACGGAGGCGTTGGCTAGTGCAACAGCACGGCTTTTTTTTATTTAACTAATTTATATATATTTTTTTACTAGCTTTAAGTAAAGGGGATTTGATGGACGAGGGGGGTGTGGGCGGTTGGCGGTCTGCACTTTCAGCGCAATAAAATGTAGGCGGCTTTAAGTGAAGGGTGGTTAACTAAAGTGGTTTTACTTCTTCCTATAAATTGCAGATAAAGTTTTTTCGTTCCTGTCAAAGGACGAAGTCGAAAAGTTACGGCAGGAAGAGGAAAAGAAAATTGCAACACTGCGTCGTGATAAGAAATCCCGATTATTAGATGCTGCCAATGACAACATTGACAAGGACGACGATGCCAGGCATCCTGATAACAGGCAACAGGATACCGCTGACAACAGCAGCAGCAGCGAGTACAACAGCGACGACGACGTCGACGACGACGACGAGGACCACAACGAACTGCAGGCAAGCGGCCGCAAGGATGTCGTTGACAATGTCGTGCGGGCACAGTTCGATGATGCGGAGGACATGAGGTAAGTGCGCTTCAGAGCAAAGTCTTATTGGATCATTGGTGCTTGCGCTCTTTTTTGCATTTTATGTTACATTTCAATGCACAGACACGTCCACAATTGGTCACTCCACAACACAATTATGATAATGACACACACACACACACACACCCGCACACTTCCACACATATTAGCTATAATCCAAGGTGTTTGTGCATTTGTCTTATCTATTTGCTTTATGTTAAGTTTTAGGCATTGGTAAAGTTTTCGACTGCTGCCTTTTGGTTTGGTGCTGGTGCCGGTGCAAAGAAAAAAAGCTTTGATTTATGTTGCTCTTAAATTAAATTATCCATAAGCATCTGTCTATCTCTTTCTCTCTCTGACACACATACACACAGACACAAACATATATCGTAGTTCATATTTTTTCACTCCACATGCCGCACATCCAGCCAATTGACGGAGCTGATCATCATTATCGAAACGTAGTGTGTATGTTATAAGCATTTATAAGCAAGTTAAATAAGTAGCCCTTACATGTAGTTATATATCATATATCTATATTAAGTACCCACACTTGAGCATATAAACACCCAAGGCGGTTTAAGTTTTAAGTAGCACTTAGGCGTTGTCTGGACTCGTAAATCGCAGAGGAGCCTCTGAGGCGTTTTGCCACTTAAAAACATGTTATGCCTCTTATGCGTGCCTCATATTTCTTGAGCCAACAGGCAGAGAGATAGAACGAGAGCGAGAAGGAGAATGAGAGCAGGTTCTGTTTTAATATATCCATCCAGTGGCGCATAACTCGACATTATCTATAAAAGGCACTGGCATACAGCTTCGACTGGTAGCAGCCAAATTTATTCTCGCATTACGGCGCTTTGTGTGTTTATTTTGCAGCACATCGCGTATACGCAATGTTCTCCCATGCCCGCGAGCTGCTCGATTGGCAGAGTTTTGCTTTTGTGCACTGGCTGAAAATTCAATTCCCGCCGGCCCAATGCCAGCTGTTTTCGCAATTGGTTAACTTCATTTTTCAAGCAAGCCGCAAATTGCGTTCGAGGCGCCTCCCACGCAGCCAGCATTAATGGCAAACGGGCAACTGAAAAGGTCGCGTCGTGGGCGGATACAACACGCGCTCAGCACGAGCTAGGCATAATTTAGGCAGTGCGTACATTTCAATTTATGCGTGGGCATAATTCTGCTCCTAAAGAATCTCTCTGATCCTTTTCGAGTGCAACTCGAGAACTGTATTGAAAAAAATAATAATCGTGGCGTGGCGACTTAGTTTGTTAACATACAAAATCGCTGTCAGTGTCATTCGCAGTTGCATGCAACATGTAGCAGCCGCAACGCGCAAGCTTTTGCCAACTCCACCAAGCTGTTGCTGGCTTAAATATAAGTATCTCTATGTATGTACCTCTCATGTATGTCAGAAGGCAACTGGGAGCCACTGCTGATGTCATTCCCATTCCCGTTGGCCTCCAGCACCCTTCAAGCAGGTTGTTATTTTTTTTTTATACCCTGAACCCATTAAAAATGGGTATAAGGGTATATTGAATTAGTGCGAAATCCAAATGTATGTAACAGGCAGAAGGAAGCATCTCCGACCCCATAAAGTATATATATTCTTGATCAGCATCAGTAGCCGAGTAGATCTAGCCATGTCCGTTTGTCTGTCCTTCCTTCCGTCCGTCCGTATGTATGAACGCAAGGATCTCAGAACCTATAAGAGCCAGAGACTTGAAATTTTAGATGTAGCTGCTCCTAGTTACCGCGCAGGTCGAGTTTATTTCCGATAATCGATAACTTACTCCGTTTCCAAGAAATCGATAAAAATCGATATCGATATCCTGTTTGTCAGCAAACTTGACATATAGCTTCTAAAATAGAATATATATCTGCATTTGATGTTGGAAGAAGAGGTTTGAGGGTATCCCCTAGTCGGGAGCTCCCGACTAGAACCTCTTACTTGTTTTTTGTTGCTCGACTGTCGTCTGTCCATGCTGTTGGCTGGCGTACCTTTACATGTTTATCAGGCAACGTATGTCTGGCGTGTACCGCCGTCGCCCATGGCGCGTTTGCTTCTAGTTGTTGACTCTGGCAGCATTATGTAATGAGCAACAACAATGTAATTTAATACAATTTTATCCACACTCCAGAGTGTTGAAGGACAACAAAATGGAAACAAACAAACTGAAATAAAGGCATGAAATTGTACCTTTAAGCGTACAAAAAACCAAATACCCTGGCGATTCCCAACTCTCATTAATCGGATATACTACAATATGGTTATTGTTCAATAAAAACGTATGACATGAGTGCCACTTAATTATTAGCACTTGATTTTAAAAATATTTCATTTCACGTCGTTTAAATCAATGTCAGAGTTCACGCTGCACGCAGGTGTCTAATTACCCAACGGGTTCGAGCCTGCAACCCGGGCTAGGGTATCGTAGATATTGGGGCTGGAGTTAATTGCATAACCCTGTTATTGAAATGGCCCATCAATAATAAGGATCGAATTTTCTGCCATCCAAATCCCTGAACTGTGTGGAGTAAATATAAATATAAATACAATCAATTGAAATATTGTGAAATTAATTGCAAAAAGTATATCTGAAAAGTTGCATAGTGACCTATGAAAAGTTTTAACTACATTTTCTTTTGGCTCTTGCTAAATTTGGTTCTGTGTGCTTCTGGCATGTGTTGCAAACAGTCTGACAAAGCTGCATAAACCCTGAAAGTGGCACACAAACAACAAGTCGTGGCATGCACATGAAAGGTTGACAACACGAGATATCATTTAGCGGCACAAAATAACAACTCGCAAGACATCGGAAGCAACCCGCAACCCACAAGGCGCTGTCTGTCTCCAACGCCAGTCGTCGTGTGTTTGCGAATTAAATGTATGAGAAGTGGAGCGGCCGGCAAGGTGGCAGCTATGAAAATATTTAACAAACAAAGAGCCATTATGTACTTTTCATTACGCAAGCGTCTGTAACGTAGCATTAATGGCCTTAGACGTAAACGTAAAGGCAAAGGACAGACAACTAAGCTGATTTGCCAGTAAGAAGCCCAACACTCTTCTACTCTAGTTGAGCCCTTCTTAACTTCAATTCAAATCGCGCGAACTGCTCGTTATGATTTTAATTAATACTCTTAAAGACTTCGGTTAGCTCTGTTTTAAAAACAAGATGTTGTTTATATTACATGACGCACAAAATAACTGGTCTACAAATCAATGACTACCTTGGAGCCAAATTTGCGCAGCTGTCTAAGCCCAAGCCGAGCCGACTGACCAAATGGCTTACAGCCCGAAATTTGCATAAATTTAAATGTGTGTTATTATGTTGGCGTTGTTCGGCCTTGGAGTTCATATCATAAGAAAAGGAGACAAACATGTTAATAACCTATTTACAAATTTTCCAGCAAGAATTTCTATTAGCCTTGTTTTTTTTTTTATTATTATTTATTTTTTTGTTTTGCGCATAAATTTAAGTTGCGGCGTTGCCGTAAAACAGCCAAAAGAACTATGTCCGTTAAAAAACGAAGAAGATATTTTTATATGCTTATATGGCCACATCAAATTAGCCGGCAGAGCAATGTTCTCAATGATCTTTTTGTATTTATATTCAAATTAAACTCGTTTAAATCTATAAAAATGGTGTGTAGCACAAAGGCTCGCTCAGATCCGTGTTTATAAATTCTTTGCCAGCTTCCGTGGCGACAAACTTAACGTTAACGTCAACGTCAACGTCAACGTGAACGTGAACGTCGACGTCGGCATCGATGTCGGCAAAACGCAATCGAATGATTATTTGTGCATTAATCGGCTAATTTATAGTTTGATAATTTATGAACTATTTCTAGTTGCCAGACGCTTAAACGCTTTGGCTAACCGCTTTGCCAGCGGCTGACTGACTCGACGACTCCCTCGCTCTCGCTTTCAATTGGCTTTTGGCCGTTTGGCGCAGCGGTTGCCCTTGAATTAATCGCGACGTCAAGACAATTGGTCAGCTTTGGATTTTGTTTTCTTTGTGTCTTTTTTGTGGTTTTCTTGTTTTTTTTTTTTTTCTTTGGTATTTACATTTATGTACGCAGGTTTGTGAGCGACCACAGCTTCTTGGGCCGCTTTTGTGATTTTATGCAGATGAAAATATTTATGTTTTGTTAATTGCGCATAAATTAATTTATATTTTATGGCGTTGGCGCTACGTTCAGTCCACAAATGGACCGCAGCGCACCGTAGCGCATATGCAAATCCGTGTGTTTTATTTTTGTGTTTCTGATATAAAAGCGTAATTTGACCTTAAGCCAAAATGAGGGCGTTAATGGTGCTCTTTAAATATATGTGTGCGTGTCTAGCTATTTCTGTTGCTCTTCTTCGCATACAATTATTGTTTTTTTCAGTTGTATTTCGATTGTTTTTTGTACATTTTGTTTGTTGCTGTTGGCGCATAAATATTAATTAAAGTTGGAAAAACCATGACAACATTAAGTGGAAAAGAATAAGCGAGAGCAACTTAGCCGCAGCAGCAACAGCACCACCACCAAAACAAAACCTAAAGGCAGTTGAACATTTACTTGGCCCCCCACAATGAGATTTCCTTCTATATTTTTGTTTTCAATTATTATTTATCTAATTGCTTTTCTTATCCGTACCTGTGTACCTGCAAGCCCGGTAACAATGCACCTGTTTAATTGTACATCACAAAAACTTTCTGTTTCTGCTTCTCACCAACTTTTTTCAGGAATCCACTTGACGAAATTGAAGCAGTATTTAGAAGCTAATACTAAACTAAGTTCTGACACACACACACACACAGTAATGAAGATGTGACACGTTTATTGACTAAGTTCCGATATCTAGCCAAATAGATACGTAGCCTATATGAATATACTTATTAACAATTTCTAAGCGAGAGAATTTGACTAAACTTAGTTACTGCCTCACACGATAAACTAACTAACTGCATTCTACATTTACTATGAACACCCATTTTTATATGCAGCAAAGTTTTATATTGTTAGCGACTACGCAACTCAAGATACTTTAATATACTATGTATTGCAGCAGAAGAAGATCGCACGCCCACATAATAAGCATAGTGTTAATGTTGACCTTTTTTTTTTCAACTTTTACGATATGTTATTTCTCTTTTCAATTCGCTCCAAACTTTTACATAAAACGAAACGAAAAAAGAACTGCAGCGTTGTTCACTTCACCAGCACTTGAAATGCTTTTACACACCTCTGCCACACTCATACACCTGCAGCGGTTTTAAAGTACTCACTCACACACACAGACATACACACAGTTATACACGCCCACTTACTGACTCACTTGCCGCCCTTAGCGCCAGGGGCCATGTTATTAGCATATACTACCACACGCGTTTAGTATTTGAAAAAAACTGGAGAAAATATAAAATTAAAAATAATGATTTTTAGAGCAGGACAAGGAGTCTAATTAAAATGCTCTAGGCACGTTTAGCTGTGCACACAGAGAAACGGAAGTGGAGAGAGAAAGAGAGAGAAAGGAAAAGGAATTAAAGTGCCTAGTTATATATGAGTAATTCCTGACTATATAGTTACATTTGCGTATTCAATTGTTCAGTTCTAGAAGCCGTCGTTTGTCATTGTTTTAATTTTAAAGACAACTCGACAAATTTTCATAAACTAACTAAGCAAATAATACAAACTTGTTGGGTGAAATCTAGTTGAAGTTTGAAGTTGAAACAGTTTTAGTCATGTTTCGTGTTTAACTGCAGTATTTGGTTTTATCTGCGACGATTCGATGCGCAGCTCCTGAAAAGATACTCCCGCAAAAGCATGCATGTTAAGTTTATGAAATCGAGTACGTTGTTGTAGTCAGCGTTAAATTTTTTAATTATATATTTTATAAATATTTATATGATTGTATATGTATCAATATAATTACAAACAGACACACACACACTCACACGAATTAAGTGTTCTATATATGTACTACGTTTACGAAATCCATGCATCATCATCAACAACATCCACAACTATTTATGCTCACACATTGCCAATGCATTTCCTGAATAACATGTGCCATATATCTTATATATGAATGTATGTATTTTTTGTTACTTCGCATCATAACGGAAATATGTCTATAAATAAATGAAAAACAAAATCAATTTCGATTTATTGCAGTTTGTCATACATTCTACATATTAACTAACAAACAAATATATCTCGGTTATGGTTATTCATTTTGATTTACTTAATCTCGACCAAATTATTGAAAACCAAGAACTAGTAGCAAAACGAATTCCAAGTAAAAGTACATTGTAAAAAGTTATAAGGACACTCTATACATAAATCTGTCAATTGCAAAAGTTCAACGCGTTTAAATACTATATATATAAAATGGTCGGATTGTCCCGCTGGGGCGGAATGCCAGCATGTCTGGTGGTGCCCTCTGGAGTGCCTGCGCAAAGTTCATTTAAAAGTCGAAAGGACAAATGAATGAATAAAGCGAGCCGAGCAAATGGCAGCGCCGAATTGTTAAAAAAAAAAGAGAGAGAAGAAAAATAGTATAACAAGTGCAGCTTGGCCGGGTCAAGCCTGGCCGCACTTAGCCAACACTGCAGCTGCGCCTTACTATGCGCTTCTCAGCCGTGACAGCTGCTGCTCACTCGTAGGTGGCTGAGCTTCTCGCCGCCGACGGCGGCGTGTGAACTGGAATACATAAATCACTCAAGCTGAAGTTGCAGCCACGCTGATTCAGCTGCAATAATTTCGCATTAAGCTTGAACCGAAAGTGTGTAGCAATTTGTTTAAGACAAAAGCCACTTGCAGCAAGTTCTTAAAAAAAACAAGAAAGCGTGCTCTAGTCAAAAGTGTTCGACTAGCAGCTACCCTAAAATCACTCAGACTATGGAAAATGAGTACGTACTTGAATACGCTCTTAATTGTCCGATCCTTATAAAAAGTTATAAGTGTGGCATAAATGTGATATTGAAAAGTCTATTTATACCAAATTCCAAAAACCCATTTTCTTCAGTTTTGAGTGCAATACTCTACAACTGCCCATTAATTTCAAATTGGTGGATCTGCCTCTTATGCTTCATTCAGCCAAAGGAGAACCTTCTACCTTCTGCACTTTCAGCATGATACCCTTTGTGTCCAATATCAATGGGTTAGGATATAAAAATCGGGCCACAAAGTTCTTCAGTGGCAGACTTAGGCAACGCGAGCATAGCCAGGGGAGGAGAAGTTGAAGGGGGTGCGTGGAATGCCACTGGCGGATGAAACCTTATTGCAAATAGTTTTAGTGTGCTCACTTTTAAAATTAATTTTGCATACATACGTATATATTTGTATAGTGCTATATATATATGGATATGTAAAGCGGGATGGCAACGCAAATTTTACGACTTAGCCGACTTGCAAGTACTCATGGCTTATGCCATGCCTGGGCCAGATTGTCTCGAGCCTTGGGTCTGGCTCTGACTCTGTACTCCTGTTCCTCATTCTCCATGCCCTGTGCCTGCGTCTGTGCATCGCCTCAGTGCCTTGGTTGTCTGCCTTAACACGCTAATCTCCAGATGCCATGTTATTGCACTTGTTGGCAAAGTTGTTTAAAAAGTGATTTTGTCAGTGACGGGGATTTGGGCTAGGCGTGGGCAAAAGTTTTCAATGTGTTTCTTGGTTTTTAATTACAACAAATTTGACTTGCTGTGCCAAAGTTTGTTGCATGCAGCCGCAGGCACGTACACATCTGACTAAAATGAATTAACGTCATTGTTTTTGTAAGCGTTCCCATATCATGTGCTAACCGCATTACACATTCACAAGTTTGTTTGGCCAAAACCAAAACTCTTTTTGTTTTGCATATTATCTGTATATTCTTAAATGTGTTTTACTTTGCACAATTGAAACACCAAACAAATCTTAAACCCACAACAAAAAATGACAGAACCGCACAAGCTCAAGCGCAGACAACGCACGCGCCTAGCAAAATACCCAAGCAGCTGCGGCAGCAGCGTGCCAAGGCCACGCCCACGGCCAATGCGGCGCCTGCCAGTGATACGCCCAAGCCTTCACTGCTGCCCAAGCCAAAGGTCAAAGTTGTGATGCCGCCTGCGCTGCAGCAACGGTTGCGGCAGCACCAAGAACAACAACAACAACAGCAGCAACAATCTCAGCCCGAGGAGCCAACCATACACGAAGAGGAGCAGCCGGCCACGCCCAGCGGCTCTGGCAGCCGTATACCCGTGCGCACACTGAAGGCAGAACGACGCGCCCTGGCAGCAGCTGCACGCCAGGCAGGCCTGACTGTGGACGACTACGTCCGACAGCTGGAGAAGGAAGAGCAGCCGCAGCTGGAGCAGGGCGCCTCGCCCACAACGCCAGCGGTCAAGAGCCGCGCCATGATGAAGTAAGTTGAATGCGTGGCGGTCAAAGAGTTGACAAGCATGTGAGCAGAAGTCCAGAAGAAGTCACCGCAAAGGTCACAGTTCAAATGTGCTGGCAAATCAACAGCTCGTAGGCGTAGCCATTTAGTTTAAGTATCCGTTTGCTATTTGGCTTCCGATGGCGAACACACACACACACACACACACGCAAACAAACAAACAAACACATACAAACGAGCAAAAACACATGCACACGCACATGCGAAAGGCAACTATTAGTTTCAATGTGATACTCCAGCCTATATCTTTATATCTATGTATATAAATCTGTGTCTGTAAATCTAGGGAAACACTTTCAACTTTCTTTTAGTTAGTTTTTTTTTTTTTTTGTATTACTTTTTTGGTGTGTGTTTTAGCTACTTGACCTATGTATTTACTTTGGTATATCTTATATATCTTCTCTTGTAATTAGCCTTTACGAAGGAATAGTCTTCTGCAGCACCTTTTGCCTATGACTTACTAATATTGTGTTTATTTTCACGCAGCGCTGAGAAGCGCGCCTCTTGGCGTGCTGCACGTTTACGCTCCTTGGAACAGGGCGCGGTCGAGGCGCAGGATGTGATCAAGAACATGCGCAAGATGACCGACGATTTGATCACGCACGAGTCCAGAGCCAGCGAGGTAAGTGCTACGTTTCCCTGACTACTTTAATCTAGCCCATCTTCAAGTGAAACCCCAAAATATAAAAAAAAAAACATTACAAAATTTAAAAGCAGCCATTAACATGCGTGTTTTGCCCGAGGAATTCGGCTGAGCCACTCCTAACCAGCTAAAGGCCACAACCCATAAAGCTACATGGTTTGCTTTACTAACCGCAACAATATACTAAAATTTATTAAAACAAGCATCCGTATGATTCTGTTTTATACTGAAATGTAACTAATGCAAAGATAGTTCACTCGCAACGTAGCTAGAGGGACTTCGATAGGGGGCACATCTCTACAAAATAGAATATCAATATTTGAAAACCCATTATCAAATTAAAAATGAAATTCATTTCATATATATATCAAAATTTTTCTCTCTCTGTAACGCAGCCGAAAATAGTCTTTCCAAAAATTGCCATAAAGTCTAGCGATGGCCCGGTCATCGTGCGCGAACGCGAGAAAATACTCGATGAGAAAATTGTGCGGCGCACTGAGGAGGTGCCCTGCCCCATAACGGGGCAACCTCAATTGCGCACCGTTGAGTACATTGAGAAAATCATCGAGACGGAGGTTAGCTAAACCAACTAAAATTAATTGTATACATATAATTGGCACCAATTTTGAGTTTCGTTAGCAATGCAAAAGCGTTTTACATATTTTTTGGTTGAAAGCTGCTTCTGTTCTGTACTCGTAAGCGTCAACGTTGTGAGCTCTCTCGTCTCGCTCCAGCTCTCGAATTTGTAGTATCTTCACGTATTTTGCACATCCTAAAAAACCATTTAATGCACTGCACACAGAGCACCCAACACTTGTATCACTGTAAATAGCATATAGTACATTTCATCAAGATTCGCCCGTCTCGCCGCAGACTTAATTATTTTATAGAGCTCATGATTTTTATGTTCCAAGTGCACAAAACTTGCTGCCTTCTAAGAAGTATCTTTAGATCTTGTAAGTGCCCTGCCACAAATGTTTACCAGTTGTGTTTCTGTCCCTGTTGTTTTAAGCTTTCAGTTGCACAGTGGCTTTGTTGACATTGCGCCAGCCAACCTGAAGCTGTGCGTCCGCTCCTCTTCCGGCTGAAGTGCAGCGCATAAAAAGGACAATAAGCCACTTTTGTGAGGCACCTACGCGAAAAGGTCTTGTGATGAAGCTCGGCGGCAACAACAAAAACCATTTTCCCGGTTATTGTTGTCTTAAGTGTCGTGGTTTTTAGGACCCCATTCCCCCGTCTCACTCGCACCATTTGGCGCGTATCCGTTTTGGGGACTCAACCTTCAAAGAGTTTCATTGTTTGTTTTGGGCTTGTTGTTGTCACGTGTCCATAAAACAGAGACGACCGCGAATTTTACGCGTTTGGGGCCTGATTCTTGATTCATTTTGACTATGCAAACGCATTATAATGACGCGCTCCATTTTATGGCAAAGTCCATTAAAATTAAAGCAAAAGTTTTGTCTCCTTTTGCTGCGGCGTCGTTTTAATGATTTTGATCGAAATAAAACCAACAACATAACATTTTATGTGCCCTCTGCTATTTTTGGCCACAAATCTGTGTTTAAAAATTGCCTCTGTCGCTTTGCTGTGATTTTCAATTTGTAAGCGGAAGGAAGCGCAACGAACGAGAACCGGCTAAAATGTCAACGGCATACAAGTTTATGCCCGACTTCCACAAGCTGCCAACTCTGGTAATTTGAGAGCAAAAACTTTGCTCGAGCCAAGCAGCCCCCAGAGCTGACCCAAATGCTCTGAATGCACTGCGGGACGGCTGCATCCAGTTTCTTAGTTAGCTCAGTGCGAGGCCTGTCAGCGGGCAGCCTCAGCTTATCGTCTTTCTGCAATAGAATCCTTTTACTTTGTCAGCGAGCAAACGATGGCAATTTTCTTTGCAGAGTCGGCCTTGTTGTCATCAGTTTTCATGCCTCATTTATCCTTGGGGTCCATTTACACAACTTTCATATTCACGCTTCTATTACACATTTCATAAATTTCGTTTCTCGTTGGAAATATATTTAAAACCCTTGAAAGCAATTAATTTTTCTCTTTCTCTGAAAAGTTATAAGAGTGCTTGAAGTTCTCAACTTATTTTTACATATTGCATATTGAATAAAACATATATTTTTCTTATTCATGAACATATTAAGGCAATAGAGATACGCGATATATGACGCTCCATTACACGAACTTGTTAATCGTAAAATACTTGAAGCTGTTAATATAAATGTAGTTTTCTTTTACTAAAAATTCATTCTAAGACTATGACAAAGGACCAATAAATCAACACATTCAAAGAAAATATGAATAGGAACAGTTACTTGTTGACCCCTCTTGACTTTAGGAATGTTAGTTCAATACAATAAAAGAAATGCTTTGAATGAACAAAATGTTCCGATTATCATTTAAAAATAACCATCGACTAAAAATGAATGATTTCAATAACTGATTAATTTACTAAAACTGTGCTTTTAAGGGTTTAAGAAACGGGTGAAATTATAATAATTGTTATTTATTCATATTTTGTATTGTGTGTTGGCATGTCTTTTAAATCATCTATAATATTCTAATAATCTCTATATTAATCATGGTAATGGAAACCGCATCTTATAAGCCGTACACCAGTTCTTGTTCCTTTGCACACACTTTAAAAAACACGTGTATTTATAAATGATTAGCTATGGTTTTGGTCCCGCTGCTTGGTGCTGATTTTTGTTGCCTTCATTAGTAGTTAGTAGTATGCCAGCAAACCAAATGCACAACGTATCGCATTCCGATTCCAATGTATTTAGGTGGAGACTTGCAAGGAGCGCATCATTTCATTGGAGCTGCAGGTGCCTGAGGCGGAAGAGGGTACACTTGATGATACACAGCCGCCGCTGGAACTGCAGGCAGATGATGATTTCGACAACGATGATTACGATGATGATGATGATGATGATGATGAAGAGGACGAGGAGGAGGAAGAGGAAGAGGACACAGCCTCCATTGTTACGGTGCAAGCAAACAACGAGAAATTGTTTCTGCGCCACGATGCAGATGCCTATGGCCCATCCTCCATTGACAGCGTCTCGTCGGGCAAGGTACGCATTAAGGCAACGCCGCTGACACTACACCAGACGCTGGCCAAAGAGACGACCATTGTGGAGGTGCTGAATCCTGTCATTGGTGGCGACGGCAGCGCGCGTACTATACAAGTGAGTGGCATGCCCTTCGACATGGATGAGCTGGAGGAGGGCGCGACCTCGCTGCTGCGCAGCGAAACTTTTGTGTTGCCCACTGGCGGCAAGTCGGAGCTGTCATTAAATGCAAAAATGAAGAATGTGCTCGAGGAGCTGCTAGAGAATGAGCGCGTTAAATTGAATTTGCAAAAGAGCCTCGAGGAGCACAGTGACAATGAGAACGACGAGGAGGGCGAAACCGAGAACGTCTATGTGGATGCACGCGACGACGATGAGAGCGCCTATGGTGACGCTATAGATGATGTTGTTGACTTTGGCGTAACAGTCGCGCCGACGGGCAAAACTAAAGGCCAGGACGATGCCAAGAACGGCAATCAGCAGCTGCTGGAAGCGTTGATCAGGGACAGTAATCGCAATACCATAATGGGTAAATTGGCCAGTCAATTGGCCACGAACAAGGACGGGGACGACGACGACGATGACGAGCAGGACGACGACGAGGAGGAAGACGAAAGTAGTGATTCCTCGGACGATGATAGCGATGACTCCGATGAGGAGGACAATGCCGAGGAGCAATTAAACATTGCCTACGTGCAGGGCGCGCAGGTAATCGAGAATCTCAACACTGTGGCTGCGGGCAACAAGCTGCAAAAGTCACAGACCTACAACACCATGAAGCAAGCTGAACAGGAGGAGAAGGAAGCGGAGGAGCAAGCAGGCGGCAATACCCTGGCCCAGCTGCAGGCCGAGCAGCGTGCACTGGCCGAGATCTCAAAGCAGTTGCGCAAGTCTGTCGAGGATTTGCTTAGCGCCGATGGCGGCTCGGTAGTGGAAACACAGCGCACCTACACGCTGCCAGCTTCCAGCGACAGCAAAGCCGTCGTCACCGTCACCGAGGTGGTAAAGAAGCAAAAGAAAACGGCACGGCAATCGGGCGCCAGCGAATCTGGCGAGGCTATATTCAATCGCCTGCTCAGCGCCGGCGAATCCGAGCGTCAGATCTTCGACCAGCAGCAGGGCGAAACCATCACAACCACCACCACAACCACTGAAGCCCTGCCCGCCGCGGCAGCCGCCGCAGCTGCCGGTGAGCCCAGCACCAGTGTGGTGACCACAACGCGCACAGTCTCCAACATTGTCACCAGCGGCATACCGAGGCTCGAGGCGAGCAAGCAAACCATTCGCAACAGCAGCAACAACAACAACAACAATAACAATCGCAGCAAAAACAAGCGCAAAGGCAAAAAGAAATAGGCAATAAAGGACGGCCAATTGCGCATACGACACGAGGTCTGTATGGGATTTAACTAGGCATATATACACAAATATTCTCACGTGGAGCCCTTCACCAGCAGCAGCCCCTTCCACATATAGACATATTCACATATCAGCGCATTAAGGAGCATTTAACAATGTGCCGTTATACATAATGTATGTACGTTTTATATACGCCTGCATATGTGTGTGTACCATATATAATACATGTGTGTATATAATTTTAATTAATTGTGCAAATAACTTGTCGCTGCATTTAAAAACACATTTGTAACTAATCATAAAAACGAGCGCAAAAAAAAAGGAACGCATAATTGTGTAAAATGAAATCAATTTCATTATTATTAAAAATATAAACCCTGCAAGCTTTTAACAATATTCAGTTCAGTAACAACAAATGGCAATTAAAATTACCTAAAGCCCAAGGAACTACGTGCACATAATTGCAGTAAACAAAAATCTTATTTAATTGATTTAAATAATTTCACTTTGTTTTGCATTTAAATTACTCGCATTACTTATTTTGTCATCACGTCCTTTGTTTGCTTTTCAATTGAATTAAATTTGCCGTTTTTTTTTGTTTTTGTTTTAGCATTATAAATAAAGAAAAACTCGCCGTTAGCCGGTCAAAAGTTATTTCGATGGTCCCTCATACAAAATTAATAACCCCGAGCATTCCGTCTGTCCATTTTATGATGGACAATATTGTTAAGGTCTAGCTCTAATCAATATAACAAGTTTATTAATACATAATATTCGAAGTATGTATTTATTGGTGTTGCATTATTCTAGTTACTGCAATCTTGTGGTCAGTGTACAACAACTTACGAGATAGTCAGTCTACAAATGCATTAACTAAACTTTAATTGTAAAAAAAAAATCAATCCGAGCAAATGATTAAATATTTACCTATATGATATGTATTTAGCGTGTAAGCAAACAAACTTTTTATAAACCGGCAAAAAAAAAAAAACAAACAAACAAACATTGTTGCAATGTAATAAACAATTCAATTTATTTTTTATTTTTAAGTCAATCTTTCACTGTCACTCCGACAACTTTCTATTTAAAATAAGCTCCCACGCAGAATGTTTGGAGAATTATGTCAATGAAAATAGCTCGACTGTCATTTATTATTCGCAGATAAATATAGCAGCATGCTATTTTTATGGCTTTTTAAGTCGCGGATTATACCTTGGCTGACAACAAAAGTCTAGCACATGTCATAAGATTTATATTTGGCTAGTTACCTGATGAGTGGTAAAACCGCTTTATGGTTTATTCTGGTTGTTACGGGGTACTAAAGTTCAAAGAAAACAGATAATCGTCATACGAGTAAGTGCTTGCCTCTTTAGTTAAAAATGCATTACAGGAACGCTGGCTTAAGCGATTTCAGACGACCTGATTATAAGAGGTATGTATTGCATATAGAATGAAATGATGATGACACAGCCAGAGTATTTTCTCATTGTTTGTTTTGTGACTTCACGATGTGAATCCAGAAATGTTGAATAAGAAATATAAAAAAATGTCATATGACGTAGAATTTTTGATAAACTTTAAATAAATTTTACTTTGTGAAGCAAAGGGAATTAAAGACAACCATTAAGCAGAATGAATCTATGCAATGCGAAAAGAGGCTGTGTTGTGTTCCCCAGTCGGCATCAAGCTTAATGGCATTACGGAAGTTGTTCCATTCTGGAGAACGCGCAACAAAACTGCGTCGGAAACATCGTATGTTGGTGTTGTCAAAAAGATAGACAGTTGCCTTGGCTGTGGATGTGTATGGTGCTCCTAATGTAAAAATCGTTAGAATTTGTTGTGCGCCCAACATCATCACATGAACATCAACTCTGACAAGAAGCAAGTTTTAAGCGGAAGTTCTTGACACCGACACAGAGCATTGAGCGTTGCGGGGCTCACGTTGCGTATGTGCAACGTGCATAATTTGATTTTTAGTGAAGAGAAAGAGTATGTGAAACGCACAGACGTATTGCAGATGCCTGCGTCAGCATTTTAAATATTTAATGCCAACCAATTGAATTACGCAGCAAAACCAGTCAAGGACTGCATCTGACGTAGGTCTTGTTACATGCGCAAGCGGCGGTGCCAAGTGCACGGCTCTGCCTTGGTCAGGTCCACTGCCTGCATGCCGCCCGCTGAGCAAGACAAATGAATGCGTCATCTCGCCCCCAATGCATTTGCATTTGTGCAACATTTCAAGTGCAGGCACCCTGCCAGCCAAATGCTGCGGGCTTCCTAATGCTGGTGGAACCACTGCACCACCAAATGTGCAGCGCGCATTAATCAGAAACTCATTTTTTGGGCGCTGCCAGGCGCCGTTGTTATTATACTGCATGTAGTGGCTAAAATAAAAGCAGTTTCGTCATATTTAATACACTCGACTGCTCTGACAATGTAGCCAACATCATTTCGCGTCAACGGGGTGCTCATTACATGGTCTGTCTGCCCCGAAACTTCATCCAATTGTCGTCCCCTGTCACATTTAATAGGATTATGCTTGGTTAAACACAAAGTGTCCTTACACACGCACACATACACTGACATATTCTTTTTGTGCAGGGCGTGTGTGTTTTTTGTGAGGGAGTCACACAAATTTCCAGCATTTGCTGTTTGAAATTTTTCACATTTCACACATAAATTCTGTAAAGATGCTTTTTGGTGTAACTCCTGCTGTTGCTAGAAGCAGCTAGTGAAAAATGTCCAGTGTGCACACACACACGCATATACACGCACACTTGAACACAGGCGTAAGCGCAGGTGTCCTGTGCTGCTCTAGTCCTTGGGCGAGCTCGTCGTGCTGTTTGCCTCCGCCAGTTACTGAGTTATCTGGCAAATAATGGAACGTGCTGTGCAGCTGATGCGTTTTCATAAATTTTAAATAAGCGCAGCAGCTGCCACAATACTCGAAAGGCAGAGTCTCCACCCCAGAACCCAAGGCCTTGACGAGCCCCAAACATCTGTGTGCCTGTATAATTTTCCATATTAGCGAATAGTTTCACCTGGCAAAATCAACTTAGGTGGTCAACAGTCAGCTGATTGCCTCATTAATCAAATGTTTTATCAGCCAACTCACGGAAAACTGCTCTAACAGCAAGTTGGCACAGCCAGACACTCTGCGGTAGCTAAAGATACCTCTTGCTGCTCCCTATTCATATGATATACTTTTTTGTAATGGTCAAATATTTATTGTTGCAATATGCTTCTTACAATATAGTACATTTAGTCGTGACTAACTAGCTGTATTTATTTATTATTATGATGTTGTGGAAAATATCGCTTACCATCCTTACGGCTTACGGCTTCAAACTAATTTTTACAGTTTTTATTGAAAACTTATTTGACTATTTTCAAACAAAATCTTATATAGTTACCATGATAACTTGGAGCTTCACACGTTTATTCGCCAAATTGATCTTTCAGTCTTAAAGCAATAATCGTGAAAACGTGCATAGGTTCATCTTTCTCTGCTAGGCCAAACATATGTCTGACTAGGCCGTATCAGACTACCGACACAGGTCGAAAATTAGTTTTTATATTTATCAAAATATCTTATCCAAACTTTTCATTTCACCAAAATCTTACTACTGAATCATTGAGCCCTATAAAAAGAATCTGGCTATCAATCTTAAATTCCGATGACAGGCAGGTTGTTCAGATTTGCTAAGTATTCTTTTCAATACGTATTGCAAATATGAAATAAATTAGCTCCTATATACGCTTTCTGTTTCTCCAATTCGATATTACACTTACATAATATATGGATGGAGTACTCTATAAAAATGCGTTACAAGAGTACAAGGACAATGAACAAGCAGTTTGACAGCTCTGGCAGCGCATAAAAATGCAATGCTCGTCCTGCAATTTAGATTGCGCCTCGTGGCTCAGCTAAAAGCCGCCGTGCGATGTTCCCTGATGTTGTTGTTGTTGTTGCTGCTGCTGAAGATTCTTTTATTTTGTTTTAGCCTGTTGCTGTTCGCTGCCGCAGGCAGCAACTGTTGTGCGCGTGCGTTGGAATGCCACGGAAACTGTTGCAGTTGGCAGGACAAAAACATTGCCCCTAAAAGGGCCAGCTTTATCCGTGTGGCTTATCCAAAAGGCAGCTGCCTTTATTAGCTGGCTGTGCGTGTGGGGTACATCCCCAGGGTAGTGTTCCTCGTCGTCGTCGTCGTCGTCGTCGTCGGTGGCAACAGAGTCGTCGCCATCGTACTCATGCCCATATCGATGAAATACGAAAACGTATCCTAACCTGGAAGCCTTGCATGGGCTTCGGTTTTTATTTTTTGTTTCAAAGCCTGGAATGCGTCGCTTTTGCTGGTGTTGGAGGCTCTTTTTTTTTTTGCTTTAGCACTAGACTCTGGCTTGCTTAACCTTGTTGCCCAACTCGGCTATCTTGACTTGGCGTCGCTCTGGCGGCTGCTGCTGCTGCTGCTGCTGCTGTTGCTGTTGGTGTGTAATTGCAATTTTCAAGGATAAGGATATGCTCGAAACAGATTTATATGGAGGGCCCAGTACGTGCGGAATTTATTAATGCTGTCCCAGCTACTATATCTACGTTCGGAGGCTCGGTACAATTGCTGGCCGGCCACGGAGTAGGCGTGCTCTGAACATTGACACCCGCCTCGGGTTATATAAGGAGTGGTGTCTGCTGTCATATCGAAGTCTGCATATCCACGATGAGCCGGGAGTTTCCCCGGCATTTGAATTACGAGAGTTGAAATGAAAATAGACAGCTTGGCACTACTATTGTGGTTCCTGTTGTTGCTGTTTTAGTTTTGTGGCACAATGAGGTCCTTCCGTATCGAGGAACGAAAAGGCAGCTAGTAGCAGGTGTTGCCGTAGTTAGTGTCTGCGAATCTGAACAACGCTCACGTATTCGCATTAACGAACTTCGGTGCTTTAAGTGCAGTCGAAGAGCAAAGACCAATATAACCAGAAAGATCTCAGCCAAAACCCTGAGACGTGGTGCAACCATTGCTAAAGGCAACCACAGAGTTGAACTTTATTTGTGCTTGTGCATTTGTTGAGCATAGTTTAGATGGGGGCAGAGTTGGCAGTTCTAAAGTATTGGGAGGTGTGGTTCTTGTTACATACATGCAAGGGAACAGTAAAAATAAGTATCAATCATTTGTTTTAAATTCATAAAGCAAACTTTATTACGCAGATTTTAAGGCTTAGGCATGCGTAGCAGGGTTAACTTCTATAACACTCACAATTATAATCATATTTGAATTTTATGGGATTAAACTTCTTTTACGCATGCATGTTTGTACCATCAGACTGTCAAACAACGCATTCCATCTTCCATATAAAAAAAAACTAACTTCATAATGTTTCATGTTTTTAACTCTTTCGAGCCAAGCTACATGTTAAATTAAAAAAAAAAAATACAATAAGATCTGCAAATAAAAGCTTCA